CAGCGCAGCCCAAGCGCAGTCGCTGCTTACTGCGCAGTTAGCAGAGCGCGTTCTACTACGTGCGTGTGTATGTACATATGTGGGTCGAAAAGAAGTGCAGACTGATTAGAATATCAGATAAGAGGGTTCAGGATATCTCTTAGTCGAGCAGCCTCGACTAGAGTCTTCTTACTTGGTTTTAATGCGCAATGCCAGACGATGCAGCGGCTAATCCGATGCCTTCTTTTGCTCGTATCTAGGCAAGAAATATCGAAATAAGGAATGGTTTGCCACCCATAAAGTACATTTGTAAAAATTGATAAGGTTCGCTTGGCATTGGTAGCAATGAACCGACTTTGTGGTTAGCTTGGGCTTTGATTGCTGAACATTTGCAACAGTATTTTCAACTATTTCCGTTGCTACAAACGTTCTCATTTGAAAACATAAATTGAATTATCGAATTGACTGCAAGAACAGTTCAGAATCTGGATCAGTACCAATAAGGATGCCGTGCAATGGGTCCGGCGGTGTTCAAATTCAAATGGGAGTTTCACTTTTTCTGATGAAGCTGATTTTTAAATTTAAGGGCAGTGCGAGCATTTTTTTTCCAATGTACCAATGACCACTATGGAATTCCTCTACGGCCATTGACTACGAATCTACGCGCCTCTCTTCGTTCTAATTGCTTTGCTGGTTTGGCTCATCTCGTGCCTCTTGCAATTGTGATGCATGTAAGTGCGGCATGCTTAGACGGACATCAGCATTGCTTTTGTTGCTTTCCTTCATCTGATCTGCTATCTTAGATGCTTCTAGATTTGGATTAATTAATAAGCCCTCTTGCATTTTCGTGGCATTATTGTCTCTTAATCAAACATAAATAAATCAAGTTGAAAAACTGTTTGGGGATAGCCAGTCATAATATTGTATTCGATTGCTCATTATTTGGCTTACCTTTACACGTGCATGAATAATTGTTTTACATGAGAGCATGACCGAAAACTGTCACTGTATCAAGCTTACTGGGTATATTATCAATGACAATGCAAAGATCCTCAACAGCAAGCAATGCTTCATTGTACACTGCGTCACAGAATAATATCGTAAATTCGTTGCGGTAACCCACCCTTTAAACTGAGGGACATGAAAAATAGATGTTGGTCAATTCTCAGACCTACCCGATCTGCACACAAAATTTCGTGGGAATAGGCTGACCCGTTTCGGAGGAGTTTGGCAACAAGCACCGCGACACGAGAATTTTATATATAAGTTATATACACAGGGCTGTCCATATTCGACTGACCCATCTGAAGCCTTACATCTTTTGACAGAGATGCCAGAGCGCTTATTAATATGAATCAGTATACGCGACGCGAGCACTCCCAAATTGTTGAAATTTACATTCAAAAAAACAAGTAAATTTTGAAAACTCAACGTGCGTATAAAAAATTAAATGTGAAAATGTGCTAAGAGCACCATTAAACGTTTGCACAAAATATTTTCGATCACACACAGCTCGCATTACAATCGGTTCTTTAATGAAATTGTTTCCTCCGCGTTTGATGTCGGAAAATGGCTATTTCGACTGCACACCGCGTTCGCCTGATTTAACGCCACCTGACTTTCTTGTGGGGATATTTAAAGTCAAAGGCTTATCCTAATAAGCCAACGACCCCAGGAGAGCTCAAGAACAACATTCACGAGGAAATAGCCGATATTCCAACTGAAATGTTCGCCAAAACTATGGAAAATTCTGCAAAACGGACACAATAAGCCGTTAATTCTCAACGCGGCCATTTGAGAGAAATCTTATTCAAAAAGTGATGTCAACAAATCTACTTGAACCAAATAAATTGATTATTATCGTCAACATGAACAAAAATTGTGTTTATCTTTGATTTAATTGAAAAACACATGGGTCAGTCGAATATGGAACATTATTTTATACTGTATATTATCTGTTTATATGTACATTATAATTCATTTCACTTGAATACCCGATTCTCTTGATAAATGCCGATCAAATGGTCTTAAATGAAGTAAATGGGGAAAAATAAAAGTTCTTTGATATATATCTTTAGTATATATTCTCTTTTTTTTTTTTAAACATATAACGTATACTTATTGTGTTCGAACGGTATGTATATATTAAGTATTTTGTAAATATTTGGATAATTACGTTTCGTTCAGGATTAAGTTAATGAAATCAATCAAAATTGTACTGTAATAATTTTTAATAGTTTATTTATATTTATTTTGTCTAGGTACTCTATAAATATTCTATATAAGTAGGAATACATTTTGCAAAAACAATTCTGGATGGCTGTTCCACAATTGTTTTTGCAGCTAAACGGAGGCCTTCAATTGGGTTATCTGTGAGATCCGTCCATGTAACCATTGCACAGGGTATGCTTAAGATGCTGAAAGCAAACTTATTTTGCAAACTTATTATTATTGATCTGCCAGTAAAAGCATTTGTTAACGATGCGCTTCCACATTACATTGTATAATTATCGAAGCTTCAGCTCGAGCTCTTTCATTTTGTTTTCCTAATGTATTACAATAACTAGTTATATTAAGTGTATTAAGAAGCATTTCAAGTGTATTACATAGCCGTTAAAGTAATATTAGAACTCTGTAATTAGGGGTAGGCGAGCTCATGGCACATTTGGCTAGTTCAAACAGTTGTGCCCTAGGGATTGTTATACAATTACAATAACAATTATAATCGATTATAAACATTAAAGTTAAATAGAAAGCGAGAGAAAAGCAGGTGGCCCGAAATGCTCTGCAAATGGCTGTTTGCGAAGCATTTCCAGATGACTCCTCTTTGGGGGGATTCCATCTTCAGACCAACCACTCGCTGGCTAGCGGAAACTTGAGTGGCTTGCAGCTGCTGATCCTTAGCGCGCAGTTATTGTCCTCGGGAGCAGTTGTTGGGTTGCTGTAATAGCACTTCTCGTTGGCCGAGCCGAGACTAAGACTATGGCTAAGACTACATGCATTAACACCGTTTCCATTCCGTGCTTTCGGGAATGGCTCCCTCTTCTCTGCATCCTCTGCACTGCCGTCCGCCTCTGTATAACTAACATTTGTGTGATAAGCGTAGTAACTGTGGAGGTTCAGCACCTTGTTGTTGATCACTTCCGTATTTGTTGTTGCTTTGTTTGTTGTTGTTGTTGTTGTTGTTGTTGTTGTTGTTGTTGTTGGTGAATAAGCCCTGCAGTTTAAACTATAAATGTTGATGCTGGTGCTGCTGGTGTGTATATTCAAATGCACAGCATTATCATGTCACACCGAAGTGCCCTGCTGGCCAGGCACAGCCGAGCCACAGCTGGCATCCGGCTTGAACGACTGCTGCAGTCGCTCCTGGCACTTGCCCTTCGACGCGAAGAAGAACTTGTAGATCATGTACATGGGTATGCACAGCACCGACGAGCAGGTCACGGCCCAGCCCACCTGGATGCTCCATGGCGGATAGTAGAACTCCTCGCCCAGCATTTCCTTATAGCCTAGTATCGAGAATATAAAGATGGTCTGCGGAAAGGCCAGATCTGTAGGGGCGTCTTAATTCCCTCTCTCTCTCTCTCTGTCCACTTACCAGCAGAAACACGGGGCTTATGTACGTCCAACAGATGCGCCAGAAAATCCCCGGCTTGGCGCCCAGCATCTGCTCCACATCCGCGCTGAAGCGATCAACGCCATAGAACCAGAAGACGCCAGCCGCTTCGACAAACACCACGAAGAGTATGGCCAGGCCGGGCCCGTACACATTCAAAAAGTTAACCAAGACCACGCCACCCTGCAATCAGAAGGTCGCTGGTATCAGTCACCTGTGCTACATTCTACGTTTGCTGGGCTTGCAGCATTCTCTTTCATGTACTTATTATTGGGTGAGAACAGAGAACTGGACAGTATTTACGAATTGTGTGGCATGTCAGCTATCGTGGACTCGGACACATCTATTACACACATATTCAGACTGTGGATGGATTCACTATTGCCTATCAATCGAATTGCTGTTGTTTATCCCAGCAAATCTATATCATAACCATTGCCGATTGTTATTTAATAGCTTCCACTCTCTGGAGTGGATGCAGTTGTCCATGCTAGGCTTGATAAATGGATGCAGGCGGAGTCCCGGCTAAGATATGCACATAAATGGAATTGCTTGATCCATTGACCGATACTCAAGTCGAGTGGTCAAGTTAAATATATAAAAGATACTGAATTACAATTTCAAATGTAATCAGACAAAGTGGCGATGGGCGGACAGAAACATGCACAGACAGACAGAGAGCCAAGTGTTTGGCCAGCCCCCTTCCCTATCCCGGTGGTCGGGCATGCTTGGCCAGGCGAAGAGCAAACAAGCGCGCGACCCACCTGGCTGACAGCTAATAAAAATGCAGAAGCTGAAGCTGAAGCAGAAGCAGAAGCAGAGGCAGACGCCGAAGTTGAAACACAAGGAGAGGGAAGCGAACCGGGTAGGCGGCTAGCGACTTGACGGAGCTAAGTGAGTATGTGAGATTATCTGGAGGAACGATGGAAAGCACTTAATATGGCAATCCATCGTTTTTTGCTCCAGGCAAACGGGCATATTTAAACAGTCAGCAAGTCCGCTCATCCCTTGCCTCAGCCGGCAGCAAGACAATTGCCACTCTTGGCCCTGGCCGCGTTTAATGAGCCATGAGAAGCCCCCGCCATGAATAGTCGTAGGGTGGGGTGCAGGCGAGCAGGGGAGTAGGGCGCACGCACTTAACAGTTAATTAAACGAATCACTCGGACCGATAGATAAGCGACAGCAGCTCCTCACACTCATACTTACATAGGTCATTGTGGGCAACGCGCACAGGAAGATGAAGGCGAGCAGGAGGAGCACGAACAGCTCTCGCCTTCGCCCGATCGCACGTGGATACTCGTCGCATAGGGCCGTTATCATCGCCTCCAGGCCGCCAAAGGTGCTGTCCAGTCCCAGCGTGATGAGCATTAAGAAGAATATAATGCTCCAAAAGACCGAGCCGCTCATGGTGGCAATAGCCTCTGGATACACAATGAAAACCAGGCCGGGTCCCTCCAAGCCCACCTTGTCTATCGATGTCTTCTGCACGTTGGCCATATAGCTGGGGGCGTGAAGAGAGTTTACAGGCTTACGTTTTTAAGAGAATCAAATATTTATCGGCTAGTATTGATATAATGATTTATTGATTGATTGCGCTGCTTCATTCTAGCCCCAAAAATATTTTTCCAAATTATACTCAAAGTCTCTTTCTAAATGTAAATGAATGAATCAATTGAATTAACTAACTATACTTCATATTTACACAATTTCTACACTCTTTATTTATTTTTTGGTATTTATAATATTTTATTTTGCTATACTTTAGAAATTACCTCAGATGTACATAACAGTTTATGTTTCATAAAAATCACAACGGAAAAACCCATTGAAGAAGCAAACTTTTATTAGTAGTATTTGCACCCATCCCTACATTTTTTCAGTTTCTAATGAGGTATTCGTTTCTGAATATAATAAAATCAGGATTTCTGCTCTATACTCACCCCAACACCGAAAAAATAACGAATCCGGCCAGAAAGCTGGTCAGGCAATTGATGCTGCTGGTTATGAGCGCATCCCGGTAGCAGTTGTTGTTGAACTTATTGTAGCTGGAGAGAGCTAACAGGGTGCCGAAACCGGGACCCAGGGAGAAGAAGATTTGCGAGGCTGCATCGATCCACACCTTGGAGTTCTTCAGCTTGTGCCACTCGGGAGTCAGGTAATACTTGATGCCCTCATCAGCGCCAGGCAGAGACACGCCGCGCACCAACAAGATAATGAGTACTACGTAGGGCGCCAGGGCTGTGACCCAGACGACCTTTCCGGCACTGCGTACGCCTTTCCAGAGCGAGAAGTAGACGAGCACGAAGACTCCAAACACACAAAGCGCCAAGGTGGGCTTCACGGGCCCCATGAAGTCCAGCCCGTTGCTCTTGTAGCTCTCCAAAACTCGACGCCTGTGATATTCAGTTATGGACGCATAGGAATAAGAGTATATCTATGGTGATCTTACTCGAAAAACTCCTTGGCCGGCGATGTGGCCAACTCCGTGAAGTTCTCGCTTGTCACGGGCATACAGTTCTGGGTGTTCCATGCGTTGTCGCACGACGTCCAGGGCAACTTGGCGGTGAACGAGGCGAACAAGTAGTACACCGCCCAGCCGATTATCGTGTTGTAGTACATGCCCATATAGATGTCGATCAGGCAAATGGCATAGCCAACGCCTGGGAAGAAGAAGAAGGAGAAGCAGAAGAGCTTATGTGAGCACATGTCTATACCACATACATACGTAGGTATTCGTAGTAGACTTACTTAAATTAGTTCGTTATACTCTCGCATACCCTTCATCATTTATCGCCCCATACTTTCTTTATTTTCGATAGGGCAGTAGGAGTACCGGGGCAACCACACTTGAGCTCCAGTTATACGCCGTGAGAGAAGCAGTCGGACAACTCCCTTATATATTCTTGTGATTTGATCGCATTTTAATTTATAATAATTTGATTGATTTATCATCGCATTACATAGAACTTGCATTGATTTGAAAATATAATTTTGCTTATCTATGATAACATTTGCAAATCTAATTTATTATAATTGCCATGAAACTCCATTAGTTGCCATAAATATCTCATTATGGGGAGATATTTGTGGCCCCGATTTCTTGTAGTATGCATTATCATACTACTTATTGTCATAGTACTTATGCCATTCAGTTAACCTCCCTTCAAGTGCAACCCGAATGCCTGGCAGCACCGAACTAGTTGCATGGCATAGTTTCTCTTAACAGAATGCTTCGATATAACAGAATGTGTGTGTTAGTGTGTGTGCGTGTCTCTGTGCAAAGTGGGATTGCCAATCTCTGATTGATAACGATGAGAGAATTCATCAACTTCAAATATTCCCACGTGACATTTTACACATTCCTGCTTATTGGACACGACATGGAAGTGGAATGCTTTGCTGAAATGTGTCCACGGACTCCACGCGTCTCCAAAGCATCTGGATCCACCCGCTGTGCACCTCTCCTCGCAACACCTGCCACACTTATTTGATGATGCCAATAAGACACGTCACATGATTTTGAGTTGGTTTGTAGCCATCGTAGCCTGGCTCAGACTTTGCCACAAGCAATTTTATTTTATGCTTGTGATACCCTGTATCAATTGAGATCAAAAGCGGGCCATTCCCAATTCTATTTTAATTGCTTTACCGTAACTAATTGGGAAAAGCTTGGCTGTCAAAATGTATTAGTTAAGCACTGTATACATCTAATGTGTACATGTATGTAATGTGTATATACCGAAATGTCTTATCATAAAGGAGCGTTAGATTGTAGGGTGCACCTTGGTCGAGCACTTTCATCTATTTTATACCTCTGTGACTTTCAGTTTGTGTGCGAGTGTGTGTGTGTCAATGGTTTTYCTTCATTTCTATTCAGTTTTAATCGCCTGGCAGAAAGTTGGCGCAAAGGTTTCTCTAGAGCAAACACTTGTTGAGCAAATGATGACTGCCACAAAGTAATGTTTGCCGTTCAGCTCAGGGCCAGAGGGCCAGAGGGCCAGAGGGCCGGCGGCTCGGCAGCGCGGAGGCTCAGAGGAGCTCCGGATGCGAAAGTGGAAGTGGCTCTAGTGAGTCAGCAAAAAGTTGGAGCAAGTTTAAAGCGCTGTCAGCCGCAGGATAAATCCACTTGTATGCCTGGAAAATCCATTTGGCAGCATTTTGTTTGCCATTTAATGAAATTATCAACTTGATACGCAAAACTTTCGAGTGTCTTCGTATCGAGATAAGTCAATTTGTGCATGGGAAGGCGAAGGAGGAGGAAGGGGACGTGGTGGCGACGCCTTGCTGCACAATTTAATTAGAGCTAATATTGCGCCTGATTTGTGCCCTATTCAGATTTGAATTTGAGTTTGACTGAATGCGTCGCTAATTGTTGCAACAATTTCCAGTCTGGCTTATCAGCAGCTCACTTGACTCAACTCGAGGCCGACTCCGGTCCCATTCGGTCTCCCCGATAATGTCAACAGCAGCTGAGCGAAACAATGAAGGCAACTTCCCTGCGGGCGCCGCTGTCCACACTCTCACCTAACTCCCCTCTCTGTCTCCTACCCATTTCAGTCCCATCCCATCGCAACATCACGTCAAATTCAAACATTAAACAATTTTGTTGCTGTTGCTGTTGCTGTTGCTGTTTCTGTTGCTCTTTAGTGCCTCCAGCATGTGTGCATGTGTGTGTGTGTGTGTGTGTGCGTGTAATATATTTGATATTAAAACTCTTCAAATTAATGTGAAATACATAAATATGTACATATAAATCAATTTTCATTACTCTCCCAGGGCTGCGGGGCATTTAACTGCACAAATATTGATCGCAATTTGAAGTCTTGATAGATTCGAACGTGCAATTTGTGTGGAATGTGCTTTCTTTTCCGTGTGGCGATTATTCAATATTTGTAATTCATTTATGTGGAGCAGCATCAAAATAAATTGCACCCAACAAAGAAGGTGGGCCTTGGGATTCTTCTGGGAGCTACGCAGTGGGTAATGGCGATGGCTCTGTTGAGCTTGAGATTTAATTTTAATTTAGTTTCGTCTTTGAATGAGAATACTCCGAGAGACTTCGAATTTCATTCGAAGATCCCATTGAAATTGGGAAATCCCCCAAGGTATTATCAGGGCTACGATCAAATGCCTCAAGAGCTATACAATTGAAGTATTTGTTTTTAAGTATTTACGACATCTAACTTTTCGAGACCCCGTTTCAGTTATTCATTATATCTACACATCTTGGGGCTACATTCTGAAAAGCAATTTAATTTACATTTACTTTCGTAAGTATGTTTGTTTCTTTTGCGATTTTACGCAAGTTTTTCATTGAATTTCGATGCAAATACAGCCAAAGTGGGAACGAGTTTTGCGTTTTTCCTATGCACATATATTTTTTCGGTAGAATATGTAGATCTTCTACAGACAATATCATTTAAGTCCAATTAATATTTCAGAGGATGTCAAACAGAACGCGTCGCCGACTGGCAACAGCCCATTTTTAGCTTGTTGGAAATGAGAGATCACGGCATAATTAAAAACATTAAAAACCATTGATTGGTATAGTTAAGCCCTAAATGCGCTATAGAGATTTCGAAATAATCTGCAACAATGATGTCCCGAGATCTCTCTAAGAATGATTTAGTATTACCAAGCATTCACTCACCCTTCAATGCTGGACAAATGCGCTTCCAGATGCTGATGCAGCCGCAGCGATGGAACTGACCCAAGGCCAGCTCCATGTAGAACAGCGGCAGACCGCCAAAGATGAGGAAGATGCAATATGGCACCAGGAAGGCGCCGCCGCCATTCTGATAGCAAATGTAGGGAAACCGCCAGACGTTGCCCAAGTCAACGGCGAACCCGATCACGGCCAAAAGGAACTCGGCCTTCTGGCCCCAAGTTTCCCGATGTCGCTCCGTCACGGACACGACCAACACGCGCTGAAAGTACAACGGCCAAAGGCATTGATGGTTTCCTGTCGCAGCGGAGCTTATGAGGATGCTGGACTTACCTCATTGTTGGCTAGTCGTGGGGCCAGAGGATCGGTGACCTTAGCGGGCGTCGTGTTGTCGCCGTCATCTTCGCCGTTGGAGTCATCCTCGTTGTTGGGCGACTCCTTGTTGCCCCACGGCGTGGCCGTTGCTGCGCTCGCCGCGGCTGCATTCTGTCCGAACTCCATGCTGCTGTCGTTTCTGGTGCGCTCCATGCTGCCACTGCTGCGGACATCTGGCTGAGCCTGAACGGGCATTGTGGCCGAATACGGCGATCGCGGTACTAGCGTGGCCAGCCGGACTTTGCCCTGCACTGCCACAGGTTGCGTTTGTGGCTGTGCCAGAGCCAAGGCTCTCAGTATACCCACTCTTTCTCGCTCCTCCTCTCACTACCTCCCTTTCTCTATCTCTCTATCTCTCTCTCTCCCTCTCTCTCTCTCTCTCTCTCACTTACTCTCTCTTTCTGGCTCTGGCTCTGTCTCTGTCTCTGTCGCACACAAGCTCTATTGCACTCCGTGTATTGTCAGCTGGACCCCGATTATTGCACTTTGCCCTTCAGTGTTTACATGCTGGCCGGCACATCCTTTGCCTGGGGGCGTGGCACTGACCTTGGGACAACAATTGCTTTTGCCATTAACTGAAAGCGGTTAAAGGATTACTCGTGACTTCAAATGATGAACAACCAGGGAAGCTCCTCCCAAACGGTGTATCGCACATATACACAAACAAACACACCCACACCCACACACACACACACACACGCACACACCTATGGACAATGGCTAAACACAAGTTTGTACATGAATATTTGTAAATTCAAGGAAATATCCATGTGGTAAAGTGGCTCACGAAAATAAAGTTAATAAGTGGATGCCAAATTATAATATAGATATATGAATACCTACATTACATTAATACATTAATCAAATTTCCAAATCATAATACAAATAAGAACGTTGCAGTTGGGCGTTCTAACTGCAGAATACTCATTCACATCCTATCAGCAATTTAGTAGCTAAGTTTACCTCAAACGGACATTGCACAAAACAAATATACTCATTTCACTTTCGTGAACGTTTTTTACGTTTTTAAACGTAATATTCTATTAATTTGACTATATAATTAATTATAGGTCTTCCTATATACATACATATCAAATTGTCGAAATATTTTCTTAAAACTTTTACAAGGCTAGTAAGCAAATCGAATCGAGATAATAATATCGGAAGTTGTATTTAATCTAGTTCAAATCAGTTGATTCAATTATTCTACAGAATTTGCCATTGAACTAGCTGAAGTCCTTTCAAATAACAATGATATATGCAATTGCATGAATGGACTAATTTGATTTTCTTTGTAAATTTGATACTTGTTTTGGCTGACTACCCCTGCCCAGACGCGCATGTACGCATCATTAACTGGCGACTCTCTCGCTTACTTCGGAGTCCCCGAGGTGTCCTTTGCCGCGTAATCTATGGCTCAGCGGTTGCCCTGCACCGAGAGCATTTGCGGCGCATCCCTGACCAAATTGGCGATGCTCAATGTCAATGCTGTAAATACTTGTAGACTGCAGTGTGGCATGAATGCAGATGCAGATACATATATACGTACACATATGTATATATTGCCAATTGAGTGCGCTATCAGGTAGAGTTGCTAGGCGCGAATAGCCGACGGCTAGCCTTCAGGCTATTGTAGGATGCCGCCCTGGTCTTCCACATGTATTTGAACATGATTCAACCGAAGCCCATTACAGTCGAGGTGTTTTCGTGGGATCGTGGGACTGGTAGTGCTGTAAGAGAGGATGCCTCTTCTTGAATTTCGAGATGAGTCGCAACTGCTAAAAGTCATTTGGATCGCTTTTTAATTACAATTTAAGATGTTTGCACCTGGCGCGTTCACAGCGCACATATCTCCGAGTGGGAAGCGACAATTCTGATAAAACGAACAGCACAAACGTCGCCAGTAATTAAAAGTCAGTTAGAGATTGGAAGGGAACGAATCACACGTGGCAATTGCAAATTAATTGCCCATGTTAACTTAATATATCAGATGAAAATAAGTGAGTTACGAACGAGCCTCAACTAAAGTTACACATAAATTATATGTCTACAGGTGTTTGTTGGAGAGAGCTCAATAGAAACCAGTTACCCATTGCACTTTATGAACTAACTGCGATAAATCCATAAAATTATAGATTGAGATCGCGTTTCGCATATCGACTTGACGTGCAGATAGGATGAAGATTTTATCAATCAGAAAGCGTTTCATGCAAATGTTTCAAGGTGTTTATTTAACCATATATCATACATGCATTGTATAATTACCGCTAATTTATGTGTTATTAGTTATATTCTTTATGTATCTATATATACATATACATAGTAATCATTGTCACAAAAAAGCAACTGCAACAGTATCATTATAGACCTATTGATACTTGAAATAAGTTCAACGAATGACTGTGTTTTTCAAAGCTGAAGCAAAAAAAAAAAAATAATGATAAAATTTAAATAATATCCAACAGTAAAAAGTATGAAATGCTTTTATTTTATTTGTTTTCTTTTTTTCAAAAATAATTGCAAGTTTACATCCGATTCCTTTAGTTTATTTACTTTCGGTTAATTTAGCAAACTTACTTTTTTTATTTATTTTTATTTATTTGTGTGTGTGTGTGTGTGTTTTTAAAATTGACTTTACAACACTGTTCGTAATATCCACAAAAATTTTAAGTCCGGCATATTGAATCTTTTAAAATTATATGTTAAAAATCAGTTGAAAGTGAATTGTTTTTTTTTTGCGCGTTCAATATATGTAAATAACAACTTGCACTTTCTTCCTCAACTGAGCTTCATTCAAAATTCGAGAGGCGCGCGCCGCTTCGCTGTGGCAACTGCTGGCCGTGCGAACGAGGCGCATCCTTTTATACACGCCAGGACGACAGCCGAGCCGAACGAACTGCTCCCCATCGTGCGTTGCCCAAATGTATGCGGGCTATGCTTGCCCTGCCCGAGGCAGGGGCTGCTCGCCTCCTGCCTGACTTAGACAGGTGGCAGCTGTAGCTTAAATTGCAACAAACTGTTGCGTGCCACAGTTTATTCAACAGCTACGGCGTGAAGGAATGGGCACGGGTAGGGCAGGGCAGGGCTGGGCAGGGGAGGAGATGGGACATGTGTCGAAAGAGCAGCCGACACATACTTAGCACTTAATGTTAACTGATACGTAATTGAACTGCAGTGTTTAACGCATATGTATAGATGTATATACATATATATATATTCGAAATACATGTACACACAAATATTGATATATCTCCCTGTATCTCAATGTAAATATACCAGAATACTTTTCACTCAACTCCTAAACAACTAAAGTTACAAGTTTTTATATTCAAATCATTCCTATTGGATTTTTAGTCAGAGCACTGCAGAGAGCGCCGTACGCCTCCGATTATGGCGATAAGGGTTAATATGGGAAATGAATTCTCGATCGTTGGCTTTATCTTGTTTAGAAACTTGACTGTTCAAAGCAGAGCTTAGACCCAATGGGCTTGTATAATGATTGAGCAATGCTTACATCAACGTATTCATAAGACTATGTATTACAAATGGGAGGTATCCATCACTTTACAAAGTATGGTTTCTGAGATACCGGAAACAGTAGAATAAGTGTAAAGATCACCTAACATTTCACAATACATAATAAATGTATAGTATAAGTTGCTCATTTAGCACACTAATTTCTTGGGTCTGAGCGCATTGCCGATGTAGACGACTGCATCAATTTCCAAGTCAAGCTAATTGGTTTAATTACTAGAAGTCGCGGATCGGGCCAGGCGGCGCTCGCAGCCGAGCTGCAAAACTTACACTGATTGTGCGCGCCCTGCACTGCGCACGTTTTATACGGTTGAGGTAGGCGGCATTCGCAGCTTGGCGGTCTGGCAGGTAGCGCAAGCAAAAGTCTGGCCACACTGGTGTTAGCGCTCCCTCTGCGGCTTACCTCGCATTTGCAAGCCGAGAGCTGGGCTTGAGTCCACAGACTGGTGTGATGTCATGCCCTTGCCTGTAGCACCTGTTGCTTGTTTTGAGCTGCGAATTATGGACATGCCAGCCACGACAGAGCGCACAATGATACTGTTGTCATTATTGCTACGATACCATAACGATACCATAACTTATGCCGGCACTTCGAGCGACCTCATCGATTACTCACCCATGATAGAGAGAGCGAGCGAGGGTGATCAGAATTGTCAATGGGCAGTCAGCACCGCCTTAGGTCTGATCAGTGATCACGAGTCACGTCGCATTTTCAATGATTGTACAAATGCACATTTGTGTCGCATCATCGTATCTGTGCATTTATGAGCCATTACACGCCCCGAAATTCATATAAGTGTAATCGGATATCGAATTTCCTAGCGATTGCCCACGACCACAAACTGTTTGAATACGTCACGTTCGCCCCACGCAGAAGGTGACTTACGAAAGAAAGAAAGAGTGAGCATGAACGAGAGCGAGAGCGAGAGCGAGAGCGAGAGAAAGATAATTGCGTGTGCCTAGTTTTTGTAATAAGATGCAAACGGAATTCGCATGCCCCTTGCTAATTGCTGCGTAAATAATTTAGTACCCATTGAGTAAAATCGGCTTTTCAAATCTGTGTTTGAATTCCTCCTCTTATTCTCTATTGAAATATCGATAATTTCGTAAACGTTGACAGTCGCGTGATCTCCCACGGAATAGTACTTTTTGGGCTCTTCAATCTGTCAAAGATATAAAACTGCTACGACAACTTTTACAAATAAAGATATCTAATTGTATATTTGGACAGATTAACCTGATAGGTATAAGATCGTAGTGAACGTTATATTATTATTTTCAATTGATTCTTACATATTATGTTCATGTTACTAAAAACTCTTGAGGTGGCTCAACCTTAAGTATGCGCTAAAATGATTTCATTTACTATTTATGTAGGCTATTAGAACATATGTAGGTCAAAAGTAAAAATAAAAATGTTATTTAAGATGAATCTAACATAGCTGCTCTCTGCTTAGTTTAACATGTATCGTGAAACTTTTAACATTACATCCGCATTTTTCTGAAGTACCCAAAGAAACTGCGCAGCGGTAGCGCGGTAGCGCGGTAGCGCGGTAGTTCCGCTACCTGCTCATTTATACATGTGTAGTTATTTATCTACATTTACCTTAACAGTGCACTGTACTTTCTGCGTGCCTGCTTGCTGGTGTTTTCCTGTGTAATATTTGTTCATTAAAAATCATTTATTTACACTCGCACACATATACATACATATGCACTTAAGTGTGGGGCTAATCCGTGGATTTACATTTTTGTCATTGATTTCATTTAATCTTTAATCTATGCAGCCAAACAAACATCCGTTTTATGGTTGGAGAGATATTCCGATTGTCAATGATAATAATACTAAATAATAGTGGCGCCCAAAACACTGTCGGCTCTTGCGAGCATCAGGTATTTTAAGCAAACTACAAATAAGAAATTTTCTCATAGTCTCGATAATGTTAATGTGCTCCCAGTCCATGGTGAATTCAACTCACCTTACTCAAGTTCTGTGCGCCTGGAAGAATTTCACACTCGTTTCCACATGAGCAACAAAGGTTGAGATGGAATAAAACTGCGCTCATGCCGCAGAGAAGGTCATTCAATTGATATTTTGCCTACACACATGACATGTACACACACTCCTGCACACACACACAAGCATCATATACAAATGTACACATGTTTGAATGTAAGAGCTAGTTGTATTTGATGTGCGCCTGGCACAACTTGAGGACTTAGCTCCAATTGTTTCAACTGATTGAGCATTGAGAATATGGGGGTATAAAATCAAGAAAACTGAAACGATTCTGTGTCTGAGATTAGTGGATATTTGGGACATCGGATAACTGAACACATTGGATATTGGATATCGAATTATAAGTCTTGATAGTTAGTTATGTTGTACATATTATATACATAGTATATGGCTGTCTCACTCGCACTATCGCTAAAAAACAATATCTATATTTTGCATTTAATTACATCTGTCGACACACATTATAAGATTATCAGCGTAATAGAAATCATGCAAAAATTTATATGTACATATGTATAATTGACGCATGTGTACCTATGTTTATTGTAGTTAGTGTAGTTGTATTTTCACTTATTATTTTTCTTATTTGCAAAAATTGGTCGTAAAAATTAAGCTAACTGAGAAAGGTATAGTTTTTCCGGTGCCACTTGAAATGGGTCATCCAGAAGTAGGCGTGATCGTCTAGTGGTTAGAGCCCCACGTTGTGGCCGGGGGTTACCCAGGTTCGAATACTGGTTACGGCAATGCATGGGATTGCATTGTCATGGGGGTCTGGATTTCTAGATTTTTTATAATAGAATATAAAATTAATAGAAACATATTTTACTTGATTGAAAAAAGTCATCAGACCTAAATCGAAGTCATATTCAGTTCAGTACCTTTGTATTGTACGACTACGTGTGCCAGTGGATTTTATGTTTGGTATTTTATATTTATTTGTAAAACTATACATTTGTTGAATTACATAGTGTACAACAGCGCCATCTATACTGCAATTGAAAATGAAGGTCTTAAAAAATAAAGGTTCGTGCCATTGCTGCTATGCCAGTAATGTCAAACCAGTATTATTAAATTATTTTGTAGCTATAGCGCCATCTATCTTTCGTATGCTCATACAATATATGGGTATATATTTATTCACCAAATTTTACTTTTGTTGAATTAAACAGTACGCAACAGCCCATTATTTAATTTAAATATTGAGTTCTTACAAAAAACATGTTCGTGTCATTGCTACGAAACCAGTAACATCTAAAATTGTTAATCCCCATCTATCGTTCGTTCGTTATATATATGCTATTTAAGATAAAAGCAAGATTTAGAGAAATGTATGACAGATTCGACGTAGCCGTGATCGTCTAGTGGTTAGGACCCCACGTTGTGGCCGTGGTAACCCAGGTTCGAATCCTGGTCACGGCAATGCTAATAAGAGAGGGCATTGTCACGGAGTCGAATTTGAACAACTTTTTTTGTATTTTTATTTAAATTTAATATTGAATAAATTAGCCAGCTTCTATTACGATTAATCTGCATTCTGCATTAAAATATTCTTATTTTGACATTATGTATTTGTAGAATTCTGTCTTCAATTATTTTTCCGAAAGATATGTAATGTATGTATATAGGCTAAATTGAAAATAAATTATTTGATCAGCTTTGTACATCTTTGGTAGTTAGGCTCGACATTTTCAATAACCAGGCGTAGCCGTGATCGTCTAGTGGTTAGGACCCCACGTTGTGGCCGTGGTAACCCAGGTTCACCCAGGTTCGAATCCTGGTCACGGCAATGTCTAAAGGAAGGCATTGTCACGGAGTCTGGGTTTTTTTTTTCTATTGTTTAACTGAATATATGAGGAACTCTTAAATTATGTAGTAACAACAAATTCATATCCATTTCTCTATATTTTAGATTTCAGTATTTACAATTGCCATTTTGCATAACATACATACGATTCATATAAATAATATATCTGAAACAGTTCTCAGTAAATCAAACATTGTTATAAAGCTTTATCGTTTCCCCGATAATTCATCGAATTCATTTCGATCTTTTAGAAAAAGTGTGGTTTACCACTACAGCTTACTCGTCATATTTGAAAGCCATAAACACATTCACCCGCGGAATGTGTTAAAACATTTCAGATGTATACAAGATACATGTTTTTAAAATACACAAAATAAAATCGACTAAAATTACATTTTTATGTTAAACTTTATATGCACTGCTTACTGCTGTCCATAAAGCAGTTCAGAGCCGGGTGGTATGGAGCTGGGATCGACGTTAGCACTAAAGTAGTTGGCGGGCGTTGCTACAGACGGAAAGAGCACCTCTGCTGACTGAGGTTGCTGTGAATATGGATGTGGTTGTACCTGTGGCTGTCGTTGATCCTGCGGCGCCTGTTGTAAAGTTATATTATAAGGATTCTGCACATATTCGTGATATATGTCTGACGCATTTCCTGTTTGCACCGCCGTTGACGCCTCATAGATTGGAACAAAGCTTTGGACAATGGATGTAGTCGGCATTCTGGGAAGTGATGGATAAGCATTGCAGGCCAGCAGGTGACTAAGGGGAACATCACTTGGTGTCTGTTGCGTCTGTTGATGCTGGAATTGCTGATACAGAGCTTGCTGATTTTCAACTGAATTCGGCGGTGTAGCTGGCAGCTCAATGGCGTAGTTGTTAATGCTAACCATTGCTGGCGAAGTCAACACTTCCGGTTGGATAACAGCCTGAACGGGCCTTACATACGTATTTGTGTGGACAGCTGTTGAAGCTGAAGCAGCAGCGTCATTGATCAAGTCAGGAAGCAATGTGTTATTGTTAACGGAAAGCTGCAGTTGCTGTTGTTGCTGCTGTTGTTCTGTAGAATGTTGCGAAGGGACTAATATGGGCTGGTGAAATAGAATATTCAGAAGATAAGCTTATTGGCTTACAAAATTAAAAACAGTGACCTTACCTGCGCGAAAGTAAAGCTGGGAGCCTGCTGGAGTGCGTCAGTCATAGGAGGCTGAAGAATTATGCTCCGTCGCGGCGATTCTACAGGTGAGGACGGGGCAGCTGTTCCAACAATCGCAACAGCAACTGCATCAGTAGTTGCCTTGACAGTCTGATCTGGCAGCTGTGATGTATGGTTAGGTAGAACAGCTGCAGAGGACACCTGCTGAGCGGCTGTAGTGTTGGTCAATGTCTGAGCTCGCTTTCCTGCAAAACGAGCAGTGAGACAATTGAATTAATTAATAGCTAAATAACGAATAAAAGCGAAAATATCAAAATTGTTGACAAAAACTAAACATTTCAATTTCATTTGAACTTCTTGGTCAGACCCTTGAGCATCTTTGGCTTAAAATACAAACGGGTCCACAGTTTCTTTTGACGCTTAACCTGCATAGAGGCCCTGTTTAAGCCCACACTCCTAGCTGTAGCAGTCGCAAATGGTGCCAAATCGTAACCGCGCACTGGCAAGGGCAACGACATTGAATGCTCGTTAGTGATTTTTGTTATCTCCAGCGATATGGCTGGCGAGACCAAATCTGCAGGCGGACGGTTACCGGACATTAAAACGCTACGGCTTTGCTTAGCATTCGACTAGCCACCCACCCACACCCGACGCACCTTCATCGTGGAACAGCTCTGCTTTGAGATTAGGTAGAAACTCTCCTATACGCCGCCAAGTTAGTTCCCATAAAGCTTCTTGAAGTGAGCCGTCCTGGTTATGGAAAACGCGTACAGAGTGCATCACAAGCAACATGTTCTTAAGTATTTCCTGCATCTGTTCGGAAAGCGTGTCGGAGCCGACTTTCATGAAACGGTCAATATAGTCCAATATGTCGAGCCACAGGTCGTTAAATGTCGTGCCCAGCTCAATAAGCGTTGTCAAATGCTGCAAGAACATTTTAGACATTATGGTAGCTGTTCGAATGCGTGACTCCTCCAACAGAGAGCTGTCCAGCTGACTCGTAGCAGGGCTCTCCGGCAGTAGCTCGTTGAGCAGCGGAAACAGGACATTTTTGAAACAAGAGCTCCACTCCGCGCCTGAAAGCGTTTGTAAATCGTGGACCAACAATGCTCGCTGCTGCAGACAGGAGATGGCATGGGTGCGCACCTCGCGCCGACGATCCATAGCTAGCCTTGCAATGCCCTGCAGTAACGGACACCAGCCAGGCGTCCATAGTGCTCCCGACTGTGACACCGCGCAGCCCTCCTCGGCCCACCACCGAAAAATTTGTGCAGTGCGCGTGTACAACGTGTACATGAGGTCTAGTAACTGAATGGACAATTGTTCGTAACGCTGCGCCAATTCTTCCTGTTCCGCGGCATTTGGAGTATTCCTTTCGCCAATGTCGCCTACTGCTGAAGTTAAGTTTCCAGTTGATGTAGACTTGAACACACCTGGCTCACGTGCGCTCTCCTGGCGCTTTTTAAAATTACGTTTCTTGACAATGGCCTCAAATTTTCGACGCTGGTGAATTCCACCATCGCGGCACGCTTCCACAAAGATGCGAATACAACGCACGCAGGCCTCAAAGTTGTACGGCGTAATGTGAGCAACGCTGCGAACGATGAATGCTAGCGAGTCCCAGCACTTAAATAATGCAAAGGGTGAATGATCTTGCAGCTGACAGTTAAACACCAGCGAGTTGACAACAGGTGTGCCGGAGCTGGGTGGTGATTGGGGCCTAAATACAAGAATTGTGAATTATGAACGAGGTATATCAACTTTTAAGAAAACGTTAAACATGCCTTGATGCAGTAGTCAATTCACTGTCTTTGCCAACCAATATCCAGTTCTCCGCGGTGGGACTAGAAGGTGCAGCTGCACTCGCTGTCTTATTCAACTCTGAATCTGATGTGTATCCGCGCTCGAGTGACACAGCCGTTAAGTCTTCTTCGCAGTCAGATGCTGCGCGGCCATTGGGCGGCATTGTTATCTGCTGTCCAGCTTCACAGTTAGGCGAAACCGCGCCAGCGCCAACGCACTCCAGTAAATTGAAAATAATCTGCCAATCTTGCTCCGAGTGAATATTTTGAGCAGAGGTCTTCAGCAACTCGTAGATGCCAATGGAAATTTGATTAGATATGCGCAGCAAAAGTGCTGGTTTCAATGACAAAAGACTTTTGAGTGACTGCAATACAACAGGGCACAACTCTTCATTGCGCATCAAATAGATTGCCAGCTTTAGTACAGCCACGATGCAGCGATTAAGCAGATAATCATAGCCGTTCTGTGCACTGGCAAGCAATAGATGCAACATTTGATCACGCACACCTGGCCACAGCGGGACCATGCGATCACGATTGTGGACTACAATCTTCACAAGAAACTCCATCCAAAATACAGTTATGTCTTCCGCATATGGCTGTCCGCTGGATTTTGGTGTTTCTGGTGCCTTTATCAAAGATAATATGCATCTAAGCAACTCCTGCAGTGACTCCAGTTGCACAAATTTTGACTCCTGCAACATTTGATCCAGCTGACATTCCTTAATGCACTTTCGACCGTGTTTGATAACTTCTTGCTCTTCGTAAGTGGGCTCCCGCTGACCCTCTGAGCTTATAAATGAGTAGAGGCTAGAGAATAGACCCAACTCTTGCTTTTCGCGTGGTTTCTCCAGTACCAGCATTGCCTTGCCATTGGGTTCACAGAAATCCTCTACCTCAATCAGAGATTTGGGTAGCAATTTCAAACGGAAAAGCTGCAGAAACAGGTCCAAAATATGCTTCCAGCTTTCTCGGAGACTGTCTCCATAGCCGTGCACTAGGAGAAACACTGTTCTCATTGCCGCTTGCGCCTTAGCATTGAGACCAAAATTCACTGCCTGCTGGATTTCATTGTTGGCTGGCACTGACTCGTGCTGTTCTACGCTGCTCAACAACGTCGTGAACTTGCACAGAGTTAGGATAAGAGCATCAAAGTCATCATGGAGATTGTAATGCGCCGATATAGCTGCCGATTTACTGAAGCCTGCAGCAGATAAGTTTTTCGATTGTATTCATTAATCAACTTCAATTCGAATCAAGCTGAGTCAAAATTACCTGTCAGGGTCCGCTGATATCCCGTCTCGGTGCTCTTGTCGAACATAAAGCTCAGAGCACTTAACGAAGCACCCCACACAATATTAAAGATTTGCACATCGTAGGCAGCATCGCTCACATAGTGGAAATGCCCGTCATGGGTCGCACCTCGACGCAGCAACATCTTCCATAAATAATTTTCGCGTACAAGCCCAGTTTGTTCGGCGGGCATCACAATCTCTTCATTTCTGCGGGAACAGATTATACATTTTGAATTATCTTTAAAACAACTATAGCACACACCACTCACTTAATTGCATTGAAGATCTGCGCTAACATTTCTTGATCAAAATCTTGTCCACCATTTAGGCCACGAAGGTTCTTTGTGAAGTCTTCCAGCGTCATGGGAACGTTAAGACGTTTAGCGTTCGAATTGTGCTGATCCATATTTAGCATGATGATAGCGTAGGCCAAGCGGAAAGCGGCATCCGTATTGGCAAAGGGCTCATTGTTTTGACTCTATAAAACAAGTTATTGAATACAGATTCTACCTTGCATGCAATGTACTCGCTTGTGCAAATGAGTTACTTACATGCCAATGATCCGAGAAGTGTTCCAATACGAGAAATATTAACGGCGCCTCGCCAGGCAACCGAAAAGTTTCTAAATAGAGACGTAGAGCTTGATCAACGCGAAGCCCAGTGAAGTCAAACGAATCCACAAAATTGATGAGAATCTTGGAGTCGACGTTTTTCTTTTTAGAGATATATTCTCCAATCATTTTTTTATCAAGACCCGGGTTCTCTCGCAGGAAAAGTGCCACTTGCATGGGATTAAGTTGAGCATCTAGAATGCCATGTTCTTGCAAGTACTGAATGCCTTTGTCAGGTCGTTGATTAAACCACTCAGTACCCTTGGACAACAAACGCTTCTTCTCCTTAACGCTTGCTAGTTGTTCGCTTGTTATGCCCCCACTCTCTCCCGCAGACTGCAGTCGCAAACGCTGTGAGCTGTTGTTGATGAAGCTCGCAATATTTTCAACGTGCTCCTCCCCGTTGTCAATGACTATGCCTTCAAGGCCGCTATTATGGCGCGAGTGTCGACTGCCACCAACATCAATCGCTGGAGTCTGAGCCAGAGTGTTGTTAAGACTGTTATTGCTCTTGGCAGCCGCACAGTTACGTTCGATGCAGTCGATGACACTGATTAGCGTATCCATCGCGATAATGTGCGTGCTGTAGACTGCATTAGTGGCTGAGAGCGTATACTTGCTGAGTAAATTGGTGAGACTCTCAAACATGTCTGTACAGTACAGGTCGCAGTCATAGTTAATGTACAATTCCGTAACAAAACCAGGAATGCGCCACAGTTGCAGCAGATTGTCTAACGCCAGTTCTCGCATCTCATATGGGGTCTTCGGATTATCACTTGCTATGATTTCGCTCACCTTCTTCAGGTAGCACTCCAATTGAAATTTAAGATGGCCTCGAAGCGATTCAAAGAGCAAAAAACAAAGCTGCAAATCAGCGGCAAATATGCTGAGACGCTCGGAGCTGAGCAGCTGATAAATAGGAAACGTGTTAAATTATCCATACAATCTTTATAATACATATTATTACCGATATTAGATTTCTGCACAAGTCGTCTTTGACCAGCTCCAGCAATACTTCATATTTTCCAATGTTGTCCGCAGCCACCTCAAAGGCCACGGTCAGCAAGCTTAGACCAGTGTGCATCATGCTGTCCGAGTTTTGCTTATCCAACGGATTGCACAATATAATAAGAAACCGAAATAGCTCCTGAATGAAGGGTAGACCATAAGGCGTTAGCGTAGAAGACAATGCTGCCGCATCCTGGCTAGACGACTGCTGGGTGAACCGCACTCCCACAGAGTTAATATATTCGTTGCTATTGGAGTCGCCTAGCGTGGCAATTGTAGACTCCTGTTCTCCATCGGCTGCTTCGTCAGGCTTCGTAGCCTCCACCTGAATTGATGGTACATCTAGTCCTGCACTGATTGTATTCCCAACATTGTTAACAGTTGTTGTTGTGGTGGGTGTCTGCGTTATCTTGCCCTGCATATCCAGAATATTGCCAGCTGGAGAAGCAGGTGTAGTTGCGAGAATAGGTGCCTTCAAATGCGTGGGTGCCCCTAACGCGCTCTGCGGCGTCTGGGGGGGCTCCTCGGCTGTAGATGATTTGCGTTGTGGCGCAGTCAAGGACGGCTGTGCTTTACGCTTATGTTTCTCTGTAGCTGCACCAGCTGCTTCATAAATGGTAAACCGCTTTTGTAGTGCAGTATCGCTGCCGTCCTCTGTGAACTGTGGCAGACGCATGAAAAACAATAGCACCATATCCTTCAGAGACTGTTCTGCGGATCGGCGGAGCAGTTCGCTAAGACGCGGCTCGAAGCAGATTTTAAAACAGCTGAGCATCACTTCGCACATTGACTCATTGCTTACAGCAGCACCTTCTGGGCTTCGGATTAGAGTGTGCAGCACTTCGATAACACGCATAAATGTTACACTGTCAGACGACTGATCGGTGCCCATAAAACGGGCATGCGTAACTGCATCTGCAATCATCTCTACAATTACAGCTAGATTTGGGGTTGTAGGATCTAAATTTTCAATATTAAAGAAAATTCATAATCAGATGGCAAGACCCAAAGAGACGTAAAAATAATCTTGTACATACCAATCAAGCCATATGACAAAAATTTATTGACTGAGGCTAAGGCGAGACTAGTTAGTGGTCCCGTGGTGTCTGCTGTTCGAATCACCTCAAGAAAGGGCGCCAGAAACACGTTCGGCTCAATTAAACGCAGATCCTCAATTCGGTTAAGCACCTGCTTCAGATCGATGAACGATTTTAACAAGCCGTCCTTCTCGTCATCCTGCATTTAAATGATCAAGTTAAATATGTTGGTAGGATATATACATATGTATTCTACATATTTACGTCAGGAACTTACCACGTAGGCTGTTGCGTTCCAACGCGTACCACGTCGCATGGCCGTCATTAATGTGGCCATTTCACCTCGTACCACATAAATACCATTTCCTGGCAGTGACATTGTGTCCAGACTCAGTAATTGCAGCTAATTGGTTTCAACCTTTAGGAATTTGGCACGAAACGTACGAATTTTCAATAATTTGCTGCTGCAGCTCTGTTTCTTACATATGTACAGGTTTATTCCATTTAGACAAAGCAAGGCGCACACACACTCATACACACATACGCTCGCCAATTGTGTACGGAAGAATAAGCTTAATTAAACATTTTATTAATACGAAATTTGTCAATAATTTGTTTGCAAGTAGTTTTTTGGTGACGTTTACGACGTGTATGTTCCGTTTCAGTTTATTTACTAGCAGCCCTGCCAATATCGATATATCGCTAGAGCTAGTATTTTTTCAATTTCTCTACAATAATTACCATTCTCATAACTTAAAAAAAAAAAAAGTTTACAATTTTTTATAAGTTCGAATCAATCATATGATTTATTGAAATAAACTTGATAAGCCTTGGGTTTACGAATGTGCACTTTGAGTGTATATGTAAATAGTAAAATATTTAGGACAGTGTGGCTATACCACTTTGTATAGCGATTTCCTTAATCTTTGAAACCGGTGTCATCCTAGTAGCTTGTGGGACATACAACTAATAAAAAATTTATTGAGAAAAGCACCTACATTGATTTTGGTTTTGACATTTCCATTTTTACTATTATAACTTATCGTCGAGCATTCTATGTTAAGAACTTCTTTACTAGCTGATCACAAAAAGCTGGCTCAAGAAATGGTAACTGTTAGTGGATGTTCGCTTAAATTTAAGTCTATAGTTATGACACTGACCACTGTGTTGTTTTGTTTGGTCAGTGGTTATGAACAATCGCAGACATCTCTGAGAGTTTGAAGTCAAGATTGATCACGCAATTTGCGCTCCCATTTAGATTGTCAGCACTGTTGCAATTATACACAGAGTTGATAATCTGTAAACTCTATACATTACAATCGATTTTATCGATAGCTATGTTTGCAGTGACAAATATCACTGTTAAAATACTTAGCGTTGCTCGTTGTATATCGCAATGCTTCCTATGTTCTTTCGAAAGCGTACTCTAGATGCACGTGCCACGTGGTTATATTTTTCTATCAAGATACATATATGTAGTAATTTTGTAAAATACCCTATGTAATAATTATTGTCCAATGCACGCTCGTTAGTTTAGTAACTTTCTTCTCTCGGGTGCTATTTTAATGGACAAAGAGTAATTTAACTATCTTACCAAAGTGATGTGCTCAAAATACCTAGTACATCATTTTCATTAAATTGTTAAACACACATTGTATTACGTACATACATATGTATGTACTTATCAAGAATACCCTTGCGTTGAGCAGTAAATGGTCGCTGATTGATAATTAGGCGACGATAATGCAAGCAACGGTAGAAAAAACTAACGACATTTAATAATACATTGACCACTAAGTCCCATGGACATTGCATTTTGAGGTGTCGCGACATGTATATGTATGAATTTAAATGTATTTATTCACATACATATGTATGTGAATGGCTATAAAGGGACATCGTAAATTCCGTTACTAGCCCAGTTTAAAAATATGTATATGTTACATTTATATAATTTTTATTATTGACGACACCATACTTAATCTATGTCTGCGATGCTCCAAGCAAACGCTTTAAGTTATCCTGTGCCAGGGCTCTTTTGACAGCCATAAACAATTGCGAGTCAATAGCTTTGCTGTGCTGTTGAGCCAGCGGTAATCGACTAAACCTTTTCGCCAATTCGGCCAGCTTTGGTTGTTGTTGCAAAAAGCTGTCAAGAAGGTCTGGGGAAATGTTAGCAATCCGCGCTAGCTCGTGAACATGCGGGGCCACAAGATCAGATGTCGTCCCCTTAGGGGTGTTGAGGTGTGGCGGCCTCAAATCCGTGTTTGCGTCGTTGCTGACTGGGGCTGGCTTTGTAGTAGTTGTCATGGGTTTTGGAAATAATACGGGTCGTAATGGAATAGGATAATGATAGGGCAATGGGCTCCGTAAAAGTAGGGGTCGTAAGGCTGGTGTTAAACTCTGCTTATGGTTGCTGTTTGGCTGAACGGGTGCCACCAGCATATGCTTATATGGCAACCGTCTGGATTTTGTGCTATTATCCAGTCCCGGCCACAATTTGTATTGATTTATGAACTCGTTCACACCCTTCATCAAGCCCCCCGTTTCCATCTGCGGCGTTGTTACAGGTATATCGAGCCTGGATGGCGTCGCATCGTAGTCGACATCGAAATCGGCATTGTTATAGTTATCATTTGCTTCCGGCTTATCCTTGCTATCATTGTTGGAATCGGTTGACTCCAAGTATGCCTTCATCAGTGCTATGCCTTGATCCGTGGAAGTCAGAGAGCGCACATATTTGATTGTCTCATCGTCGTTGCTAGTGCCCAGCAGACTCCCGAGCTCACTTAGGCTGGGCAGCTGATCTATTCGCTTAAAGCCCAGCTTAGTGCGAGCGATGTCAATCAAATCCTTGGGATACTCGCCAGCCCCTCTTGGTACTGCTGTCTCTGTGTACGTAATAGACGATGGATTATGTGTGATCGGATGGATGAGCTTAAAGGCGGGAATATTATAATAGATTCCATTTTGTAACTTTGGATTCAATCTGAGCTTATCAGTGTCAACAATAATTGCACTGTCTTGCCCGTAGAGTTTGGGCATCAATGGAATACGGCCGCTTATACATTGCCACAGAGCCAAATGCAAAAGAAACTTCAGGAGTTCAGCGAACATTCTGCTCAACACGAGGTTAAAAGAACAACTGATAAATCATTGTCGATCGAGCCTTGAGAAACCTAATCCGTATTCTTGTTTGGGCCTACTTTCGTGGAATTCTCTTTTCTTGTTACTACGAATGCTCGATGGCATAGGCGAAACGTTTTTTACCTGTTGGCCATCGAAAATTACGATTTCCATTGAAAATTCATTGCCATCGACTACCTGTATAATTATCAAATTTCATATGGCTTCTCAGAATTTTCGAACTTAGTGGATAAATGTATAAATATTGTTCGTTTGAAACATTTCAATTTGAAAATAATAATAAACTAGAGTTTATTAAAAATACATCGCTTAAACTAAAGAATTTAAGTCCGATGGGAAAATAAGTTGTACCCTGAGCGCCTCAGTGCGCTTAATAACTAGGAAATGGGTAAATTCCCTGTATATGGATAACCTATATGTATTTACATAGTATCGTATCGTACATGAATTTAGCAGCATAAGACAAAGTGCAAACTGGAAAATAGTCTATGTAAATGTCGCTTGCGTATAAGATAGGATAACGATGAGCATCGTGGTATTATCATTTGGACACACCAACCAGAGCGGGGCGTATACAACGCTCGTGTAGTTTGTAGCCGAGCTTGGTAACTTCTATAACCGTGTTTGCCTCAACAGTGGAGTCTTCTTTTTGAAACAGTGCTTCGTGCATATTTGGATTGAATTTTTCATTGATTGGATCAATTGGTTCTAGACCATGACGCTTGAACACCTGAAGCAATGAAGCGCGTGTCATACTTAGGCCTTCAAACAGATTCTTCAGATCGGAATTGTCGTTGAGCTAAGAGATAGACCAAATGTATAATAAATTCTGTGTTATTAATGAGAACTAAATTAAGATTACTTTTTCTTTAGGAACTGCTTGGGTTGCATGGCCAAGTGTGTCGGCCACTTCTAGCAGATCCTTGCAAAAACTTTGTATTCCAAATATTTTCGCATCGCTTATTTGTTTATTTAACCGTGTGCGCATATTCTCGCTATCAGCCAGTGCACGCTTATATTTGTCTAAAAGCTCGCTGTTTTGCTCTTTAGCTGCCGCCAACTCTTGCGTCAGCCTCTCAATCTCCAGTGATTGTGGCACTTTTTTCTGGTCCGCTGCTGTGGCATCGTCAGCTACCGCTTGCTCTTTCTTTTCCGTTGTATAACCCCGTAGCAAATGTGATTGGGAATGGCATAGCAAGCTGTCAGGATTTGGCCACAAGAATTAAGCGTCCATTATTACGTCACAGAAGTGGGCCATGTGGTAGCGCTTACCTTATGTTATTTATACAAGCCGTGGGTACAAAGTTGCCTACACGATTAGCTAGCATTTTCATAGTTAAAGACGCTTTCGTTGCCATTGAAGTTATTGTTTTCTTTTTTAAGCTACGCAACTTTTAACAAATCTTACAGTTACAATTCACTGAAATAATTTTTGCCTCAGCGCTTACTGATTAATCGAGAACTCAATCGATATACATACAAAATACCAAAAACTGAACTGGTATTTTATGCACAGCAGTGAGCTTTTTGAGCTTACTGCGAATATTCAACTAAATCATAATATATATTATTGAAATAATTCCTAGAAAAGCCTGAGCTGAACGGACTGATTGATTTAATTTATACACAATAAATTTGTAGCTACAATGGATTACCTTGAATTACCTATAATTGTTTACATATAGTTTCCGYCTGTTTGCCGCAGGGTGAACGCAATTAATTTATTAAACAAGTAAGAAAGTTCTAGTCGAGACTGACCGACAACGAGATCCCCTGAACCATTGGAGCAACTGAAATTTTGAATAATTATTCGCACATACACACATAATCGCACACACACAGCCGTACGCACGCACTCATAAACACGCATTGGCTGCAGTAGTGGCTTACTATGGGAACTTAATTGTTTAATAACTTTTCTTGTGGATGGACAATCTTCACGAAACTTTTAGATTATGAATATAACATAAATATGCATTTTGCCGAAGCACAAGTCTCTAGTATTTGAAATACGCCTTTTACAAATATGTGGGTGACGGGTGAATTAGGTGTGGGGGTAAATTTTGACAAAAATCGAAATTCCATAAAACACATTTAAATCTACATTAAAAATTTGGAGACTCTAGCTTTGAAGATGTAGAAGATATAAATTTATTACTGGTTTTCGATAATGTTTTTAATCGATAAAAAAATAACGGGACAAGTTAAGGATATTTGAAGCAAAACTTGATATGCGCGTGGTATACAAGGACCTAGGAAAAAATTGCAAGTCTCTAGCTCTCATATTTTCTGAGATCGACGCGTTCAAACATACGGACAGACGGACAGAGCTAAATCGACTCAGCTCGTCGCCCTGATCAAATATATGCATATGTATATACTCTATGGGGTCTGCCGCGCCTCCTTCTGCCTGTTACATACATTTAACAAAACCCTTATACCATTCGCCAGAAACTAGAAAATTATTAACACTCGCTACACATGTTTTCACTCGTATACAAAATATATCTGTGATTACATATGCATGTACATATGTACATATACATGTGTATAATCTGTCTGTTGAGATAAAATGTAAATTTACAGGTATACCCTGTAACCGTAATATTATACAATCGGGGCATTCCACTTTTGATTGACCTTTAAAGTATTAAAGGAAGTACTCAGATCCTGGATGAAGATGAGAATGCTAATTCTTCTTTTGCATCAGTAAATTAGCAATAGCTTATTAAGTGATGTAGAACTGTGTGCGTGGTATATTCTATTCGAATACAATAGAGGCTGCATTATTGTTTCGAGTACGATCTTTAAAATTCAAAGTACGAGTATGTGTGCTTATTCAATACAGTACTTTACATATACATGTCCATGTTTGCGTATATTCACGTACGTACATATGTAAATAAATGTTGTATTCAGCTGATGTATATATTATATAAGTTAAGGCATAGAAAACCATTTAGTTGAAATTTAACACTCTGACAGTGAAGTTGCGATCAAATTTATCGTAAAACAATAATTTTAAACATCCTGTCAAAATGAGCAACGAAGAGATGCAATTGGCTCTCCAAATGGCAGCCAACTCTATATCTGTGGAGGATGATCCTGATAGCAAATATGAAACACTAAGTTCTCCGAAGCCGTTGAGGAGAGCACGTGTTTTAGATTTGAATGAAAGACGTAAACAATTTCGGTAAGTAAAAAACTAAAAATAGTACGGAATATGTATGAACTATATTGTTGCACTGTTGGATTGTTGGATTCCTTGAATCACAAATAGTATTTCATTTAATGTGGTTGTATCTGTAAGCGACATTGATATAAGTAATGCTCTATTAATATTCAATAAAATTGAAAAAAAAACTTCAATGAAAGCATATTATTCGTAAATAATACCAGCTGTTAAAAGTATGCAATATTAATGTCAATGTCCATCTTAGGTATTTTTGGGAACCTAAGTTTTTATCGGTATTTTGCCAGACGCAGTCTACAGTCACATTTTTGTATTCAATAAAAAAATGGTTTAAAACTCAATACAGTGAAATTTTATAATGTCTACTACGCCAGAATCGTTAAAACACAATCATGTAAAACAAAGTCCGCGACAGTCGCAACCGTGCCATAATTTTGGCAAAAGGCTTGTAAATGACAACGATGCATCCAGCACAGCGTCTGACGACATCATGAACAGCAGCTGGTGGTGGTGAGCTTTTTTGTCTCATTTGCCATCACCCGCTCATCTGCGCATCAAAGAGATAAGTGAAAATACTTCACATATCCGCAATCTCAACTACGCCTTTTTCACTAATAAAGCCGTTTCTTTAAAATCAATGGTTAATAGAAGAATCTTTCTTTTTTTTAAAGGCGTACTCGCAGCCTAAACGCACCGTCACCGTTCCAGCAATTTGGACCATGTGGGGGTATTATGAAAAACTCGGCAATGGTTATGCAAATCCAAGATCCAGCCAGTCAGCGTCTGACATGGTACAAGCCCCCACTCACGGTGCTGGTCATCAAGAAAGTCTGCGATGCCTCCGTACTGACGCCATTCGTGCAGCTGGTCACTTGGTTGGTTCAGGAGAAGAATATGGTTGTTTGGGTAGAGTCTGCGGTGCTAGACGACGTTATTCTTAACGAAGACATAAAATTTCGCTCTATTCGCGATAAGCTGGTGACTTTCAAGCAAGTTTTAAGCATAGCTGTCTTTAGTAAGTTATATCTAAAAAATATTCTCCTAACAGAGATGGCCGGGATGATCTTACAGACCGTATCGACTTTATTGTCTGTCTTGGTGGTGATGGCACACTATTATATGCTTCGCTATTGTTCCAGCAATCGGTACCACCTGTGATGGCCTTCCACCTAGGATCTTTGGGCTTTTTGACGCCATTTCGGTTTGATAATTTCCAAGAACAACTAACCAGTATATTGGAGGGCCATGCAGCGCTTACATTGCGTAGTCGGCTACGTTGCGTGATGCATCGAAAAAGCGAAAATCCCCACGAGTTCGAACATGCGGTAGATTCGAATGCTGAGCCGTCGTCCTCCTTGGCCAACAGCATATTAGTATTAAACGAAGTCGTAATTGACCGTGGCCCATCACCGTACTTAAGCAATATTGATTTGTTTTTAGATGGCAAGTATATTACGTCGGTGCAGGGCGATGGCTTGATTGTGTCCACGCCTACGGGTAGCACGGCGTATGCGGTGGCCGCTGGTGCCTCCATGATACATTCTTCCGTGCCTGCCATTATGGTGACACCAATATGTCCGCACTCGTTGAGTTTTCGACCGATAGTAGTGCCCGCAGGGGTTGAATTAAAAGCAAGTACTAATAATAAACTTTTAGAAGAAAGCAAATATAATTCGCTTCTTTTGCGCGTTATGCAGATTTCAGTTTCACCCGAGAGTCGGAATACTTCATGGGTGAGCTTTGATGGTCGCAATCGCCAAGAGCTGTTTCATGGCGACAGTCTGCGCGTAACCACGTCAATTTATCCCGTCCCCAGTATTTGTGCCCAAGATCAAATATCTGACTGGTTTGCGTCGCTAGCCGATGGACTGCATTGGAATGTGCGCAAGCGTCAGAAATGTCTTGATGAATTATCAGACTTAACTGCATCTGGATCGGAGGATATATTCGATGAGATTGAAAATACAAAATTGTATGATGTGTAGTAAGTTTCAGAGACACCCATTTGGAAAATAGTAAGCTTGCAAGCTTTCACTGTAGTGTAAATGTGCAGTCGCGTTCTGTTTGTGTGCCTATGTAACGGAATTCTACATTATTTTAATTTTATTTCATATTGTTTAATTTTAACGACTCGAACATTTTGAAAAATTAATTAAAAACTCATTTTACACTGTCTCCCTGAGTTGCCCATTCGCAGTCTTCAACGAAATACTTCAGTTTAAGTAGACTTTAAGTTTCGTTGCTGTATTTATATAAGTACACATAATATGCCATGTACATTGTGGTTACATGTTGCTCACCTCGACTTAATCTGTTTGAACTGCCATAGCCAAGCTATCAGCACTTCCGATGATAGGCATTTGAACTTAACGAGCATCAATTAGCAGGCTTTTTGTCTAGGCAAAAAAACTGAAACTGAAAGAGAATGGATAATGCTTCGTAGGTCTACATAAGATACACTTACACACCAGATTTTTGCCATTGCTTCATGTTAAAATACATTTTTTACTGTCGATTGCTTTTGCCTTTTTTGTTAACAGATTCAAGGTGTGCGAATCAATATCAAAGTATGTTTGCCATTGTGTGTGTGGGTCGTGACAGGTGTGCGTGCTTATCTAGTCATATGAAATGCATAAAATCTCAAAATATAGGCGTATGCTATAGTACACTTTAAGCAGTTACAGCGTGCGGTTGTGTTTATGCGTAAAACTTAAAAATTTATTTAATTTATTTTTGTTATTAAATTGAGTTAAATTAAAGTCAAAATGAATGTACGGGATATGGACCGAGCTAGACAAATGTGTGAAGATGGATCTGCAGTGCCCGTACTGAAAACAACATATACTACACAAAATAATCTACAAATGGGTAGTTTATACGACAAGCGAAATCAGTTTCGGTAAGCATAACTAAGCAACTTTTTTTGACAGCCATCCCGTCCTTGAACTGTCAACCAAAATGAATTTAAAAATAACTGAATCTTTGAGTGATATAGCAACCAGTTTGTATTCAGTTTATCGATAGCTATACTTTCTACATTTATTAAATAGTTGGTCAGTGATAGTTGTAAGAAAAGTTAATTTTCAAAACTTGCTGCAGTATACTTACACTATATTTTTCTGCGTAATTCTGAATTATTTCATTATTAATATCAACAAGCGATTAGCATGTTACAATTGAATGCTCCAAAGTCAGACATGAATAATCGATATGTGTTTTATAACAGCTGATTTAACGCTGTTAAGTTAATATATTGAAAAATATATAAGTTGTATAAGATACCGACTTGTTTTGATATGTAAAAGTTATATGTAGTACGACAAAACTATGCAAGATAGTAATTATTCGCGGTTGTACTTAAGTCGGAATCTGATTGTTCATTAATCGAACTGGTTCCCGACGTATCGATTAAATTTAGAAAATGTAATGAATTCCATATATGTAAATAAATAAATAAAAATGTATCAATAAACGTTGGTAGAGTTGAAAGTGCGTTGCATGCTGCATTTAGGCTGCGTATCCGTCAACCATAATATTAATAATAAAAATTGTAAAGACGATGTCAAGTGAACGCGTTTGTAGGTCAACCACAACTGCGTTAATAATTCCATAACCATGGTGCCTAAATTAAATGTTTGCAAATACGTTTAAGTCCCAATAAATACTGTTTTGTGTTGTGGAATTTCACTTTAAAGCTTAAATTTTCTGATTTGTGAGTGTAAGCCATGTCCTCGTCCTCCTATAACATAATACAAAATCAAAATCCAACAACTAAGACATCCCCTGCACAATCTGTGCCAGGTGCAACTGGAGAACGAAGTGCAGGTGTATTTTCGCACTGCGGCAACTACGATGAGCATGACAATAAGTTGATAAGTTTAATCAGTGCTCGCCACAACAATGGATCAGCGTCCTCTGCTCCTGGGCCTGGCCTGCTGACCAATGGCACTGCTACCGATAGAGAAATGCGTTGGTGGTGGTAAGTAAAAGAAGTAGTTGAATTAATTAGCGGGATGCATATAAACGAACACGCGCACACACTCACATTCTAAAGGAGAACTAGCTGCTTTTTTACAGGCGGCATACATTGTAATTATTAGACTCGAATATAAGTAATAATTAGGCAAGACTAGTCGCTAATTACTGCGTTGCTTACATAACTTGGTTACTGTTGTTGGTCTGTTTGTTTTTATTTTTTTTATATAAATACAAACATACATATATACTACTAGACACATAAGCACCTGTTAGTAAATTTAGTCTCTCCCTCTGTTTGTCTCTCGCGCGCTCTCTGTTGATTATACGACGCGTGTCCAAAAATTTCTCAGCTGTTTACACCTGATCGCTTGCGACGATTGGAGACGGTCCTAAACTTTTATTTTCAAATCACACAACAATTTATAAGTTTATCACCTTTTTGGCGTTTCAGTTCAGTTATCGCTGGTTTACCAGACAGCACGGTTGTGTTTCGTGAGATCGGCGGGGCGCGCTCTCTTCTCTCCCCTTGCCTTTCTCTGGTGATATCTCTACCTATCTCGTGTCTTTTGTATAGATTATCTCATTCTCTCTCTATCTCTGTCGGTCGGTCGTTCGCTCGCTCTCTTTCTCTCATGTCGGTCGTTGGCTTCGCTTGAAGCTAGGGCTAAAGCTACGTGTGCTTAAAACGCCATCTTATATAATATGTAGCTACGTTACTTCTGTGTTTTAAATAGTCCTTCTATCTTAACAGGAGTGCTCATTTAACTGAAACAATCTTGGGCGTTTACACGTGCAGCCCTCCTCGGCAATCGTTGTTTTGTAAGAATGAATAAGACTTCGAGTGGCCTCACTGATCAAGCCAACGATTACGCACGAGTGTTGAATCTTGAGTCTTGAGTCTCGAGTCCCGAGCCTAGTATATACTAGCTAGTATACTAGATTACGTACTTGCTTTGTTTTCATGACGTTTCTTTGTTCAATAAATCGCTACAAACCTGCTCGTTAATGTATTGTTTGTTTTCTTTGTTTACAAGTTCACGCAAGTGCACAATTATTGTAATTAATATTTTTTATATTTGAACTTCAATGCATTGCTTCCTGTTTTGCATCAAGAGATTAATCTACCCTATTTCTTAGTTTATGCACTCAAAAATTAATTTTGCAAAATTATAATTTATTATAGAAAATGACCTCATTCCACATACATGTACAACAATTTTTTGCCAAGGGCTTCTGTCCTTTGTCAAAAATGATGCTCAAAAGATGCTGATTAATGATTGATGATTGGCTCTTTGTTTTGCAGAAATAGAGAGAAACTCTTTCTCCTGCTCTCTTTCATGCTGAGATTTCTCGTTGACTTGGTGTTGACTGGAATCTCTATGCAAATACCCATGCCAATTAGTTGACGTCAGAGCCGGAACTTAAGCAAAATTCATAAGCATTCATAAGTTAAAAAGGCAAAAAAGAAGAGGCAAAAACCTAATGTTTTTCATCATTTGTATTCTAAAACCTGTTGCAAAATAGCAACATACTACTATGATATTTTCATTTAAAATATATTTCACGCTCTTACCGCGTTTTGTCGGTGCTTACCATGCTGAATCAAGAGGCATCTCACTGACTCAACAATAAAATATTCGTGGTTTTTGTGAAGTTCGTTTTAACACTTTTCGAAAAAGGGAGCAAGGTTAAATCTGTTTACATTTTTGAGCAATCGGCCAGGGCCGTCTTTAAAGTGGTTTGGCTAGCAGTGTGTAACGCCAAGAAAACGTTAATCTAACGAAATACAATATTGCAGCTTGATCAAGTTTCCGCAATGTGCTAAGAAATTGAGAAAGTGAACTTTGATTTGTGATCCTTGAATTACTTGAAAAGTGCATTTGCAAAAGCTGCATCTGAGCCATGTCTTGCCGCTCGGACATCGATCTGGCCACTCTACATCAGCACCGCCTCGAAGAGCGCTGGAACTATGGCTTAACCTGGTGCGGAGCCCATGGAAGAAGTCAGGAGCTGCAACAGTTAACCCACTACAATGAGCTCCTCGGCCTTCAGAGCGCCAGCCAGCGTCAGCATCGCCATCAGCACCCGCACCAACAGTTGACAAAAAGCAATTTCAGCAGTTGTAGTAAAACTGTCAGCAGGCTAAAGGATAACGTTGCCAAAGATAATCAAGATAAGCCGCTTCAGGGACTGGAGTACTATAGTAATGACTACTTTACAGCTACGACGCGTCGCAGACGCTCCGGCACTTGGCCGTAAGTAACAATAATCAAAACCTATCGCCCTACGTTATAGATAGGCACAAGCCAGCAAGATCGCCTCACAACAAGTTCGCTTCACAGACCACTCGAATGACCTTCAAAAATACATAGATTAGGTCTGGCCAATCTGCGATTGTAGAAAACTCTCATAATTTGTGCGCACACGTTGTGGATTGATTTGCTTTCTCCATTTTCGAGTGTCGATTGTAGGTCTTTAATTTCGGCGCACCCATACACGTGCAAAGATTGGGCATGGGCCCTATAACACTTCTCAGATTACGTACATTGGGTGTAAGCCAGCGTTACGAGAATTTTCGAAGTTTGTTCTGGGAACTGCATGTAAGTCTTGAATATTACTTATTTATTTGGATCAGGAAACCGTTGCTGCTTTTATACACAGCCTAGTAGGCCTGGCCCAGTACTACTTTGCACCTAGCATGTCAGTTATCAAAATGTATGAATCATTGGTGCCTGCCCAACTATCACGTAGATGTTCTTCAAGTAAATGTTAACGCCAGCATGATGAGCCAGATTTCGTTATCAGGCTAATACGCAAAGTACTTTAATAGGTTTGTGTTTGAACTCCTGCTCAAGGTTAGAACTAGTGCATTCGATATTTATATAAATGTCTATTCGAGTGTATTATCATATAGATAGACTTAGTGAAGCTGGCATAAGGAGTATATTGAATATGCCGTATTTCGTCAAAGTTGATCAATATAAAAATGTTGACCTACACGACGGCATAGAGGCCGTGACCCTTCTGCACAGATCTAGTTACGGATAGAAATAGTTGTCTGTGAATAGTTATCACCGTCTTGGGGCACTTCTCAACGAGTTTGCGGACGTCTTGAATGGCTAGTCATTTGCTGTGATGGCGCCGTCTGTGAATCAAAGCCGATCCGCACGTGTGTACTACTGTCTTTTATTTGTTGTTGTTTATTAGCCTTTTTGTTTTCATAAAACTCTCGAGGCATTGAATATCAGTCAATGCCTATTAATTAATTCCGTGCCAGTTTGTGCGAGGCGCCATTCATAAATAAAACACAAAAAAAAAAACAAGTAAGAAAGCTCTAGTCGAGACTGCTCGACTACGAGATCCCCTGAACCCTTGGAGCAATAGATATTTCAATAACGGACAGACGGACAGACGGACAGACGGACAGACGGACAGACAGACGGACAGGGCCAAATCAACTCAGCTCGTCACCCTGATCAAGAATATATATACTTTGTGGGGTCTGCCACGCCTCCTTCTCCCTGTTACATACATTTCAACAAAACCATTATACCCTGATTTCCCATTGAAAATGGGTTCAGGGTATAAAAAAACTTCATGACCAGCGGACAGCGAAAACTCAAAATCAAATCAATCTGCCAACTGAGGGCTCCTAAGGTGCAGCGGGTCAAAAGCGTTAACCTTCAATTTGCATGTACGTTCGCAGTATGTTAAACAAACCCCAGACGGCCCTTAATTAATACCCTAGCGAAATGCCTAGAAGTCAATGAGGTGCGGTTTTTGTCCCGTCGCACAGTGGAACCAACTAAATAGGTGGATACGCCTATCTAAAATTTGTGCAAAATTCGTTTGAATTGCTTTCAATACGCGTGCACGCGTGCTTTATCCACTGCCGGACTTGTGATCCGTACGAAGAATCAGATCGAGCATTTTCTAGTAGATCAGTATTGACCCCCTCGACAGGTGGTCCCATAAATTACTTGTTTTCGGGAGTGGACATATCTGGAAATATTGTCTTTCTAACAGCAGTCTAAGGCAGTCCTAACTGCATACCTAACTATTTTCATTTGTTTTATTGAATATGTTCGCCATATCTTATCCATTTAGATAGAAAGTCACAGCGTCGCACTGATCGACGTTGCTATCAGTACCAGTGTCAGTATGAAGTAGGCTTACCTTGTCTTCAATTAGTGTTCCTTTGAAGGTATTGAAATGCTGAGAGCTTTATTCCCCGCGTGGGTAGACGCATAAACGGTACAGCATTTGTTTCGGGTACCAATTGGGAATATAACACCTACCGCTTGTAAGAAGCCGTTTCAGCTCATATCAAGTTTATAGCTTTTAATGGAGGCGCAGAGTAGTGGGAAGTCAGCAGCTGGAACATATTCGAGAAAACCACGATCCATGAGAGCAACAGTTCCTCGCTTATGTTGTTGTGCTACCGACCCGAGATCTAGAGATTTATACGATATGTGAAGAGATGTATCACAGCAATAATATACTGCCCTGCATAAAACTTGACATCCGAGTTTTCTACCAACGCAGTACTTTTATTCATTCCTTTCGCTTTTAAGCTGAGCTCTCTCTTAGCAACTGTCTGTCTCGCTCTATTGCTCTCTTACTCCCTCTCTCCTCAACGAGTGTGCAGTTTCCGTTGTTCCGTTGTTCGAGGCTAAACGAGTTTCTTAATGCTGTTGCTGTAACGAACAAAATCGTAAATTCTCAGATACTTTTTGGCCTTTCAGTGATTTTGTAACCTTCAACCAATTCGCACTAACCAGAGCGAGCGAGGCAACGGAAATTCCAATAATTTTCGTGCACATAAGAACTGTTATTTGAGAAAAGAAATTAGCTTTGCTGTGCTTTGCTCTCTGCACCTCACATGGCTATAAAGTCCACATCAAAATAAGTTTCAGAGCTACAAATATGCAGCATCCGAAATTGCGTCTTGCGTCGCTGCATTTAGGCCTTGTTTCCAAGCATATAGGCCGAGACTATGGCCAAGATCCCGATCCGCGAATTTTGAGGTTTACCTTAAGCATTTTCGTATTAATCTCAACTTAATAGTTCCACGTCTGTTTTCGAAACATGTATTTCAGGCGCACACGTAGCCTAAACGCACCTTCGCCGTTCCAGCAGTTTGGACCATGCGGGCGCATCATGAAGAACTCAGCAATGGTAATGCAAATCCAAGATCCCGCCAGCCAGCGTCTGACCTGGTATAAGCCACCGTTGACGGTCCTCGTAATTAAAAAGAAGGACTCCCAGGTGCTGCTGCCGTTTGTGCAGCTGGTTGAATGGCTGGTCCAGGAGAAAAATATGGTCGTCTGGGTGGAGTCCGCAGTGCTGGAAGACAAGTTGCTGCGCGACGACGTCCGACTGGAGGAAGAAAGCGCGAAGTTCCGTCTGGTTCACGAGTATTACACTGGAGTACGCTCTCGTTTCCTCGCACTGCGGGAGAAGCTAGTGACCTTTAAGTAAATACGAGTACCATTAGAATGTAACCATGCTTATGATCATACTGACAATCTTTGGGTGTCTTTGCTACAGAGATGGACGCGATGATCTCACCGATCGCATTGACTTTATTGTCTGCCTGGGAGGCGATGGAACGCTGCTGTATGCCTCACAGTTATTCCAGCAATCGGTTCCTCCTGTTATGGCCTTCTATCTGGGTTCATTGGGGTTCCTGACACCGTTCCAGTGTGACAACTTCCAAGAACAAGTGACCAATGTGCTGGAGGGTCATGCCGCACTCACGCTACGAAGTCGCTTGCGTTGTTCAATCCACCGGAAAGGCGAGCGCCGGAGGGAGTCTCTGCAGCAATCTAGTAATCTCTTAAAGCCTTTCTCGCAACGACAATCCCACTACGGCGAATTGGGTAACCCCAAAGCCAGCAATAACAACTGTAGTCCATCCTCAGCACAGGCTGCTCCTGGCTACAGCAGTATTCTGGTGTTAAACGAGGTGGTCATCAATCGGGGCCCATCCCCCTACTTGAGCAACATTGATATTTTCTTGGACGGCAAGTACATCACATCTGTGCAAGGAGATGGGTTGATTGTGTCGACGCCCACGGGCAGCACAGCCTACGCGGCAGCCGCTGGTGCGTCCATGATCCATCCATCTGTGCCAGCTATTCTGGTAACTCCCATCTGTCCACATTCACTAAGTTTTAGACCAATTGTAGTACCAGCCGGAGTGGAGCTGAAGGTAAGACGATCGAATTCGATGTGTAGCCTTAAGTCTCAATTTCATTTTCTCGTCTTAGATATCGATATCTCCGGATAGTAGGAATACGTCGCGCGTATCCTTCGACGGCCGAAATGATCAGGAGCTAAATCATGGTGACTTCTTGCGAGTAACAACCTCTATTTATCCTGTACCGAGCATTTGCGCACAGGATCAGATATCCGACTGGTTCGATTCACTGGCTGAGGGTCTGCATTGGAATGTGCGCAAACGCCAAAAGTGTCTTGACGAGCTGTCGGATTTGACGGCATCCGGCTCGGAGGACACGCTCGACGAATTTGAGAACCTAAAGATCCACGACGCGTAGTATAATCAGATATAAATCTAACTAACTAAATAAATGCTCCGGTCTATTGTAGATACATAATATTCAGATACATAATATTTGGTTGAGTTTACGTTATACAAAATCTATACAAAAATATATACAATTTAATATTGCTTCAGAACAAATAAACTTAAGTATAGTTTGTAAGGTAAGTGTGCCGCGATAATGAGAATTCTGTGTGTTTTTTATAATAGTAATAAATTGTTTTATTTACTTAAACGCCACCAAATTCGATTCAATTTTTAACTACTACAATATAGGCAAGTTTGTTGTGTTAGATACTTCAGTGCAATTCACCTATGTCGCTTAGGATTATGGGAACGTGTAGAAAGTATAATTTAAGATTAATTTGTTTTAAGCTCAAGCTTTTAAATTTAATTAGACAGTTAAATTAAATAAGGAAAAATGCATTGTAAGTCTTTTTGACAAAAAAAAAAAAAAAAAAAATCGACCTTATTAAACGTAACGGGATTACCGAACTGGTATATATAAAAAAAGGGTAGAACTTTATTTTGATGACTTACTCTTAGGATAAGGAACCGTATCAAATTGCATGTCTAATAATTATCAAAGGCCATAAATTACCTTGTCTGTCATCTGCTCCCCATATGCCTGCAGCAGTAAGTTAAAAGAATATAACGAGTTGGCTAAGAGACTAATATAATAAAAAGACTACAGAGGCCATAAATGCTAGCTGAATTATTTCATGGATTATGTTTTCGTGATGACTTCTACGTGCTGACAGCCCAAAGCATTTCCACACGCACTCTGCACATGCTCTGCTATAATGGGCAACATTCAGATGCTGCTGCTCCTCATCCTCCTCCTCCTCCTGCTTCGACTTCATTCGCGAGCTTTAGCAACAAGTGGGTCACAGCGTCCTCTCGCCTCTGGTTCTCTCATCCGACTGGCGGATAAAAATGTTGCGTAATATCCGCCAATGACGATTGGTGCTACCTTCTGGACAGTCACGCCCACGCACTTTCATTGCGCAGGCTTCAAGTTGAAAATGCGTCGTACACGCCCTTACGAATGCCAACGTTCTATAATATGTAGTTACAAAGAAAAACTAAAATAAATAAACAAAATATGTATATTAAATAGAGGAATGCTGATCAACGAGCAATCTTATTAGAACTCATTTGATTTAATAACCACAATAGTTACAGTTTACATTATAATTATATTCTTACGAATAATTATAATAGTTTACTCACATTCAATTAGCACCCCAGACAGAAAGTCCTTTAGCCGGACGGACCATCTAACGCTTATTAAGTTTATAACGGAGTAATATAATAATTCGAATTTCGAAATATGTTTGGAATTTCTTAATGAAATTTGTGGGCTTACGCGCATAACGTAATGCTCCAGGAAGTTTAAGACAAATGGTCGATGATGATGAAACATGATGAAGAGCAGCGCGAAAGAGCAAACTTAACTTGACTTGGCATAATATTCGAAGCTGCCAAGTGGCACGTGCTGATATTTCAATTGAATGCCACAAAATATGTGTGGCAGACACCCCCGTAAGGCCAAAGGCATCCGAGCTAAATGAAAAATATTTTCCTGCACTGCGAACCCCACTTGACATTTAAACTTTGGCTGCCGCCCATCCAGAGCAAAGGAGAACAAGCGATTCTCCGATAGTATTCCAAGTGCGGATGACAGCTGAAGTTTGCGCTCTTTGTGTGTTGATGGCTGCCTGAATAGCCGGCTGGGCGACTAGCTCACTAACTGACTAGCTGCCTAGCTGGAGGGCTTTGCTAATCCTGGCTGGGGTGGACCTGCATTTCAAACAAATTGCTCGTCGCTTACTCGATGCTGAACTAAGAGGAAATTAAACGTTTTCCCTCGAGTTGGCTTTTGCCTATTTCTGGCAAAAGTTGACCACCATAAATGTATTTGCACTCGTATGTGGAGGACCAGCATAAACTTACCTTAACTCTTAGCAAACATCATTTAGGTCTATTTCAGAACTGACGATTAGATTTAAATTTCCGATTGGGCTACCTCAAAGCATTGAAATTTAAAGCATATTTGCTTGATACATTTTTACATACAGAGGCTACATATTTCTCCATTCTACCAATATAACATATTTATGCTTGTGCTACTTTCAGTGAAACCCAATACGAGAATTCCTACTACCTACACACATCTTATTTAATGTCCATCCCTCATCTTAGATTTCTAGTCCATTAACTTTGAAGTTATTTTGGCGACGATACTGGAGCACTTCAACGGCTTTTTGACCTTTTCTCTTCTATTCTTGTGGTTCAATAAGTATTGTTATACCCTGAGCCTATTGAAAATGGTTAATCAGGGTATAATAATTTTGTGAAAAGTATGTAACAGGTAGAAGGAATCATGGCAGACCCCATAAAGTATATACGTATATTGTTGATAAGGGCGACGAGCTGAGTCGATAATGCACTGTACGTCTATCCGTCTATCCGTCTATCCGTCCGTCCGTCCGTATGAACGCCTAGATCTCATAATTTAGAAGAGCTAGAGAGCTGAAATTTTGCATGTCGACTGGAGTGTACTATACGCAATACAAGTTCAAGTTGTTTTTTGTCGATAACTTATCCAATAACTTTTTTATCGAGAATAATCGAAAAATTAATTTTGTTATTTCAGCTTAGAGTGTTCAGGGTATCTCCTAGTCGAGCAGTCTCGACTAGAGCCTTCTTAATTGTTGCCTTTGTCTTTTTATTCAATTTGTCCTCACTCTCCTCAAGAAAGTGTTCCTAAGTGCTTATTACTTAAAAAGTAAAATAAATCCAATTCTAAACCATATTGTATTTAAAATCTGGCATGCTATACTAAATGTGCTATATAATTAAGGCCTAGCCTTTGAAATGTGTATTTTTTATGTCAGCATAAATCAGTATTTTCACAATTTTGCAGATATGCTGTAATTCATTAATTTGTGGAGTTTTGAAAAGGTATATAAATATGACATATAACTTGTTTAGCTGACATTTTGCTCTCAGGGGACCCATACTAAGAGGAACATTTTATTATATATGTGTGTACATATATTTATATATATGTTCTTTGAAAGCATGCCCAAAGTATATCCCCCCTTTTCCCATCCGATTACGGTTCGATCTTATTGGGGGGAATATGTCTTTGTCTTTTCTAGTGGTAGGTATAGTTTGTTTGGACAGTACAGAGGGTTACAGAGCAGTAATATGAATTAAGTATAACAATATCGATAAGTATAAGTATTGGAAGGAGGGAGGAGTAAATACAGAATAGATTAAGGGCATGAGCCTTGAGGGCCATCTGATAGCCTGTGATGTGGCAGTACCTGTATGTATATACTTAATAAAAATAAAACCATAATTCGTTTGTATCTATATAGAGTTTATTTTTTATGAATTGTTCTATAACTATACTGACTGCTGAGCTGATATGGATCGAGAACCTTTGATGATTTCTTTGCTTTCCGATGGTTATAACTGTGATATATGTATTTCAATTTCTTAGGGAAATAGCAGTGATGTAAACACTTTGTTAAATTAGAAAATACTGTTTGAATTGAAATTGAATATTTGATTCAAGCAGCTGGGTTTCTATTCTTTTGTGAATGTTTCTGCCCTCGCTGTTCTATAGAGTATTGCGCTATCGAAATGTAAGTGTTTTTCCATTCGATATTGTAGTATTCTAATATCGTCGTTGTGCCATCCGCAAATAATGACTGTGTCATTTCCTATGACAGAGGCCTGGAATTATACAATATGTGTGTGGAGTACCATCGAAATAGATTGACCCACATAGGAATCATATTTCCATCCAAGTGCACTTCTCTCTTATTGTACCGAGTGAAAGCTGTGAGCCATATACTGTCTTTCAATCCAAATCTTGCATGACTGCAAACATCTAAACAAAGAATAGTCTTAATTAGACGACGACTCACATAGATCTGCGAGTCGTTATTCAGAAGCCGCGACATTTGCAGCTCGTTTACTTCCTGTCTGACTAATTGCAAAAATTTACGGTTTAGGGCTAATCAATTATTTCCTATATTTCCTATAAATACATTGACTTTGTGAGGTGACCTACTTTAAGGCACTGAAAGTGATAGTCTTTATATGGCTCACCTGAACTCTTCTGGCCCTTACTGTTAAGGAAGATGGACACAAATTAACGCAATCACAGAAACAACACGTTCTTTTCTTCAAAAGCCGGCGCGGCTGACACCTGTTAGGCTTTGGTGAAAAACGAAAAAAAAAACGCGTCCGTTCAGAGTTGACAGATTTATTGTTATCAATTTAATTCTGTTTGGCAGCTGTAGTGAGAATTTCACAAAATATTCAACTTCCAATATTTCATGCGATTCATGCGAGTAATTCGAAAATATGTATGTGTGTGTGTTAATTCAACATCCATTTAATTTCAAGCAAGCAAAAACAAAGATTCAATAATCATAATATGCTGATCTCTGCTACTTTCCTTACCCCGCACATGTATGTATGTTCGTATGTATGTATATTCACAAATTACATCCATGCGAATCGCCTATATACAGGACCATTACGGAATTGACAGCGAAAATAAAATCAAATAGCATATGCGAGCTCTGCTCTCAGTATACGCACACACTCGCAGTCACACTTGCGCTCACGCTCGCACTCGCACTCGCACCCACCCTCGCACTCGCACTCACGTTCGCACTCACACAATGAAGGCAATTGAGCAGAATCATTGCCGTTGGCAGTTTTCTTCTGAATGATTCAAGAGGAAGGCGGGCACACTTCAACAGGCGATAACAACAAAAACGACAACAAGAACAGTACGAAAAACGAAAAAGGCGATGACGACGGCGACGACGGCGACATTGACGTCGACGCTTCGCACACAACAAGTGGCAGCGGATACAACCATAGCTTCTGCTTCAGCGGGCGCTACGGCATTTATTCTGCTGCCCTTTTACATCGCATTCCACATCCTGAGATAGCGAAAGGCGCTTTGTGCGCGCTTCGTGCGCCGTTCTCAGCTATGTTTCAGTGCGAGATGAATTCTCGTGGATGATGGACGTGCGTTCGTGACCACGCTTTCAGTGCAGCAGCCGCTAGACACTTGTTGTATTGCACTTTACGAGTATATATTAATCGGTGCTCTCTTTGCCTATTGGAAAATGTAGTTACATGTAGTTAAATGGTTCGACAAGTGCATACATAATAAGTGCATGCCACAAGTTGAAGTTCAAACACACGACTCGAAAATATGTGACGGATGTAAGTATATATATGTATATATATATANTTTTTTACTTTTTCGGCTTATATAGCTTTGGGTAGATAAAAGCTTAAAGGTTTTATTGCCCCTAAAGTTGGCTGCACTAATATTTGTCGCTGCAGAATTCGCACAGCGCGACACGATCAGCTGTTGCGCGTGCGCGACAACTTTTTCGGCCCCCACCGAAAGCTCTCAATGCAGCTCTGCATGCAATGAAAGGGTTCAGTGTACCTTTCCAAAGCTTTTGCAAGCGCGCGTACTTTTTGAACATATACTTTAGCTATTTTTTTATTTACCCTTTATTTTTTTGTTTGGCTTGCGACCATTACATCATTATTTCAAATTAATAAAAAATCATCAAATATTTGGCCAAGTAACAAACGCACGTGCAGCAGCTACAACAGCATATACATACGTGTGCACACATACATTCAAACTTCTTCTAGAACATTCTTTGAATCACATCAGCTGTTAGTTTCGTTTAGTTTTGGTAGATGGCGCTGCAACAGTGAATCTATTTGAGTTTTGCCAGCACCGTTTTCAGAGGTGAGGTGGTGTGTGTTAGTGGCATGACGCTCGATCGAGAAGTCGCGGTTCGAATCCCGGGCGATGCAACTGATGTTAATTTTTATAATTGTTTCAAAATATTTTTATATTTTATTAAATGAGTTTTGTATTTTATTTATATTTTTAAATACATCGAAATTGAAATTTCATCCATACTAAATGGTCATTTTTATTTGTTGTGTTCAAGGTAGTATTTAGTCGAGCACTCTCGACTAGGTTTTTCTTACTTGTTATTATTATTTTTATTTTATTTCATTTTATTTTTTAAATAAATTTATACATATATACCTGTCCTACTTATTCATTAAAGTACATGCCTAATTAGCGAATTTCCAGGTGCAATTATTTGTACTTACTGTACAGGTAATAGAACACGGTACACATGGCCTAAAGATCGCCGTGTCGAGGTGTTTCAATGTCGCACTCGCACACACTAGTTGGGGTTTAATTCAAATTGATTTGAAAAATCTGAAAAATGTTCACAATTTAAATAGAGTTGCGTGATAGAGCTCAGAAAATGCGCGGATGAGCTAAGTTGTATGCAATGAACACAAGCTTTACAAGCTACGTCTTTAATCGCAGCGTAAGTCGTTTCTGCGATGATATAGAAATGTTCAACTATACCCTCAACCATAAATTTTTATTATGAAATCGAAAAACCATATATGTCTTTAGAGACAGTACAAGATATTCGACTTGGCTTCGTTTTCGGTTATTTTCTTTGTCACTATATCTCGATTTCAGCGATAATGGGTAAACAGTAGAAATGATTTTGCTGTAACAGCTACATAAAGTATTAGTATTATTAATGCTTCGTCTATGATATTGTTTTCGAGTGAAAACAAACTTTGTCCTTATTTATTTTCATGACCTTCATTTAAGTCGATTCGCCCAAATTTATAGATGCTTCGAACGAAAGCTCGGCCAGGGTATTGCCTAGTCGGCCACAGCCGAACAGTGCACTTACGTTCTTTCTCATCAACCTCTGAGTCGTGAACCAAGGGCACACGCGACGTATGCGCAATGTAAGCTTTGTATAAATTAAATTTTATTTACAATTGAAATTGATGAATAAAAATAAGGTTGCCGGCGTGATATAAATGCACGCCTCTCATCCTTGTATCACTGAATCTGAAAATGCGTTCTAAACATTTTAAAATCTGCATATATTTTCTATTGCTATACCGGTTATAATATTCTTTCCCACGCCCGAAAAGAATCGCATGCCCATTGCTAATAAATAAAAAAAAAATAATAATATAAGACACTTTCCAATTGCATTCATTTAAAAAGCCGCGGGCTGTCTGAAATGCCCTACGACAAACACGCGCGAAAATCTAAAACAATTAAAAAAAAAAAATGAAACAAAAAATAAATAATACTAGTAACAGCAAAACAAAAACAAAAATCGTTAAAATAGCGCCAAGCGACACGCCAACGAATTTAGTTTGAGTTCAGAGCCCCGACTCGACGGAGGAGTCCCAATCAGTAAAAATCACATCGCCGTCCCGATAAGCATAAAAAGAGACCAATTTAAGATGTTTGCTAACCGAGAGATAGTATAAGAACACACGCGAAGCGGAAACAACTTCAGAATCTTGAACATACTATTTATAAAACTATATCAAGACCGCAACGGTAAGAATAGGTAATATGGAGGTCTCTGTCCCATTCCCAAATTCCCATTTACTTTGGAAGATATAATAGTTAAATATACAGAAGAGGCATAAACATGACCTGGATATATACATTTGTATGTAGTATAAAAAGATGCTATAGGTATAGCGTATAATTCTATATATAGGATAATCTCTCATACTATATTTTAAATCGGACCAATTCTGTGACTTGGCCATATGCTGATTTGGACCTTAAATTCAATGTAAGTTCACTAAGTAGGAGTTAATGAGATAACGATGACCATGATGATGATAATAATGAGAAAAATATCATTGCTGCAGGTGGTTCGACTTTTGAACTTTTGGTTTCATTGAATCAATTCAGTAATACTAAAAAGATAGCATTTCACATCAAACAAGTTTAGTGAAGCTGCCGAGCGGGCGAATCATTTTCCATCTGTCTCTCAATTATGACAGCGCTTTGATTTAATTGACTGCAAGCTAATTCAATTTTGGGAAAGTCGCACCCAGCAGCTCTTAACTCTGTTAAATGTCGAATGCGGAGTTTTGAATTTGGCAAACTAGAACCAACTTTTTTAGGCAGCGCCTTCCTCTCATCGCGGAGGGCTCTTAATAGTCGTGGGCGTGTATGGGTGTGAGCCACTGTGGGCGGGTACTGGGTGGATGGGGTCCTCTAAACGAATTACATGTAGAATTCAATTTGCATTTGCGCCGTGCGGCTCGCATTACGAAGAGCTTCTAAATTGAAAAGACGAGAAAGAATTTAAAACTGGAGGAGCAAATTAAATAGAAATTTAAATTTGGGCACAATGCCTCACGACTGCATGCATACATATTTGAATAGGAATTATATTTGCATTATTGTGCGAAATGCTAGCACTGGGGAAATCATTTTCGATTCATCCGACTGCTGCGCAGCAATTAAATTATAATAATACAAAAACAAAACCGAGCCATATAATTTTGTTTAATTAGAAGAAATCATTGGGGCGGAGTACAAGGCAGGCCAATGATATCTAATGCGTATCCCAAGCAGCTTACATTTCTGATTACATTTTAAAGACAATCCTCTTATATTGGAATCTGATAAGACGCAATGCTTCGTTCGTTCGTTCGTTTACCCCAGCAATAAGCGGCTAGCGACGCAATGCAATCATCGACTGATGCGGGCAACGATGGCACACGTAAATACCCAGCACAGCAACAGCATAGCCAGACGCAATCAGCAGCAGGAGCAGCAGCAGGAGCAGCAGCGGGAGCTCGAGCAGAGGGCGCGGCAGCAGCAGAAGCAGACGCAACCACCAATCAGACGACGTCCTTTACCATAAATGACAACAGTCAGCCTACCAGTCTGCCGAGCAAAAATCCGTTTAAACAACAGTTGGACAGCTATCAACAAAATGGCAACATGGACACAGAGTGTGGCATTATGGGCACTGGCGGAGCTGTTGGCAGAGAGAGCCAAGAAAGTCAATCTTACGGAGCCCACAAGCTAGGCAGCAGTCACCCGCCGCCGGATCAATATCGACAGGAGGATCCACGTGCAGCAGGGACCTGGTCAGCCGCCAAGTCATGGATGGTCAGCTGGCGTGGCTCCAACCGGCTCGTCCTGGTCATCGTGGCCATAGCTCTGCTGCTCGACAATATGCTACTAACAACTGTGGGTAAGTAAGGCATGCTCTATACCTTAATTATACATTTATAAATACATACATAAATAAATTCTACTTACATAAGTACATATATATGTATGTACATAAATTGTAAAGCTGGCAGACTTCTGCCCATTAGCCCATTAGAATTTCATAGCCACTTATCCTGGCAGCCACTTGACAATCACCTGCAACGCAATCAACTGGAAAATTATTCACTTCCATTCCGTGATACGTTTTTATCTCCGCTTTACCCATAAAATTACCACAATGCGGCACTTAAGCTAATGAATCTTTCCATGGTGTCAGTCATTCAACAAACAGTCCGCCTTGAGTTCATCAATCCAGCTGTCATTGAATGCTGTTGAGCGATGCCTGGGGATTGTGACTAGCATTTGGGATTTGGTGTTATGCATCGCGTTTTCTGATCAATTATACCCATATCATTGAGTGGAATGAAAACGGTTGCCATAATTCACAATGGTAATTTACAGGCGCTAAACGGACTCACTTAATCTATCGATATATATCTATCGATATGTATATATGTATATTTGAATTTCAAGCAGTCCCAAACTGATTCTGCAAAATAAATTCTCCAATCCGCAGCCACAGCTAAAAACAACAACAACAACAACAACAAGAACAACAGTTCATCAATTGTTCGAGTACCATTACTCGATAGCAATGTACATTGCTCGTCACAATTAAGAGCCGACACAGACAGAGAAGGATTGGGATTGGGATTGGGATTGGGATTGGAATTGGAATGAGGACGGGGCTGGGGATGGTGACGGGGGGGGGGGGGGGGGGGGGGGGGGGGAATCAGTGAGAAGCAAATAAGGGAAAGGGACTCTTAAAGTGCGGACAGTCAATTAAATAGACACGCGACCACAGCTACTTCTGCGTGTGACACTAAACCAACCAAGGGAGACGGTCGCTGGGGGCAAAGGAGAGCGGACAACGAACAACGAACAACTCAAGTGCTTATGTCAAGTGTCTGGACAAACACGTGGACATCAAGTGGACGATGGACGGTGGACGGTGGACGGTGGACGGTGGACGGTGGATGAATCGCAGGAGTACGCCAGTCTGGGCAGTATTTGCTGCGGCTGACAACACAAAAAGCGATTGAAGCTCCGTATTTTTCTTATTGTTAAATGTTCATGAATGTATATCAACAAGTAGGGGTTGCACCCAACCGAAGACAAATAGCTAGACGAATGCGGCACTTAAGCAACTTGTTGATAGATACGGAAGTGAATGTCAAAGCAAAAGTAGAAAAATGTTCAGAGAGCGCACAAAAGTCACAAAAGTAAATTGACTCAACCCTCTCTAGCACAGAGCCCTTAGCTCCTGTTCTGCTGCCCACTTCTCTCCTCTCCCATAACATTCTATCCTCTTTTAGTTTCCTCTGTCTCCCCTGTGCTTTCAGTTACATCAAATCAAAGTTAGCTCTGAATGTTGGATGGCAAGGGGTGCACAGTGTTGAGTTGAGTGCTGTCTCGGGGAGAGGCAGAATGGGGAAGGTTACGGTAAATATGCTTTTAGCGTTTGACTTGAGGCATTTCCACTTAAGTGCTTTCACTCCGCCGTTAAAGGTGTCGAAGTGAAAATTGCGAGAAATACACGGTTATTACATTTGATCTTCGGCAATGAGCATAAAATTCTCATAAATTTGATTAAGCTGCGAATAGGACTTCCCGAGCACAGGGCTTCGCACGAGCATGTGATTAGGCCAGCGGCTTGATTTATGCCCGGGTCGGACAGAGACGGAGCGTTATCTGTAAGTGGGGCAGCTGACAGTGTTAAGCCGACTGTACTAGACGATAAGATACCTCGCACGCAATTCACGGCCAGCGAAAGACCTTTTATACTCTACGGATGTAGAAGATATTTTATTAATATACATCATCATAGAAAATAATTAATGCTTAGTGCATATATATAATTATATGTGACAAGCTATTCCGAAGTTCAAACATGTTTCTTACATAATTATGTTCGTCAATTATCAACACGCATCTCCGTTAATCTTGGCCTGTTTTTTCGGGGAATCGTTGCTCTCCAGGGGATCCTCCGACCGATGTTTGGTGGGCGTGGTACCCAATGACCGTGCTTTTAAGCCACTATCACTACTCCCTGGCGTTGGACTGAGCAAATCATAAGAGCAATCAGGCTCATTTCTTGTGAGAGAAGTGCTGCGTGCGAAGGGAAAATAGTCATTAAGCTGACGCTTTATAGCATCCTTATTAATGGTGTTCTCCCATATCTGCTTCTGTATTATGTTGCTGTAGCGCGCTTCGAAGCTGTGCTGATGGCGCAACAGATTCGAAGTATTGCGCGAACTCCTGCTTGGCTCCACTTGTTTCGCTTCGATGCTCTGCTGCACTCCATTCTGTCGACTGCAGGCGGACGTCCTGCCCGAGGACTCGTCACCAGTTGACATTTGTCAGTCCTACTAATTACCGGAAAATTAAACACAGAAACAATATTGCTTTGCCGGAATAGCAAGAGGCTCTGCTACCCTTGCCGAGCCGAGAAAATCCTTGCAACCTGCCTCGTCCGCTTCTGAAACGCGAGTAAGTCACGGCATGCGGTCGCCATTCGCCATTCCTGCCAGGCCGCTTGTTTTGCTGCGCATTTTCCTTCCCAAACTGGCGAAAACTCAAATGTCAGGCACAAAGTTTTGTTTAGCTGTGCTACGCTGTAATTGCGAGCGTGCCTTTTGTCTTTTAGAGCTTTGCCGTGCGGAAAAAGTTGTGCGAGGTCTTTAGGGCATACGGCAATACGGCGATACATCCTCCTCCGTCGACCAAGCCCATTATGGCGACAGGATATCGCCAGTCAAAGCTCACGACGCCACTGTGGTAAAGTTACTTCACGAATATCCAAATTGCGGCAAAAGGTAAAGCGCAGGTGTGCTAGGTGTCGCCTGTGGCCTTGCATGACGTTCGTCGGGCCAGCACTGTCTGCCTCTTAGCCTTCATATATCAAATTCAGTTCGATTTGTGAATGCGGCCGATTATAAAGGTGTATCATATTTTTATTATGTCAATAATTGATTTATGGCCATATGCGTATGGGCGATGGCTGCTTTACAAAGAATTCATTCACTATGTAGTAGGCGACGCCACCAATTAGATCATATCGAAACTTTAAGTTGCTAAATTCATTTTCTTCGACTAAATTCTTTGCATTCATGCGGACAGGTGCACGCTGCACAAAACCAATATACTCTTTTATAGTAATGATAATATTAATTTTGTTTTAAGTGCATATATATGTAAATACAAAGCAAATAAAACAACTCCAATCTTGCAAGACAACAGCAAAGCAAGCCCAAACTACACTCGTTAGGGAAAACTCAGACTTGTCGGCGTGATTTAAAAATAGCGCTCTCTATGACAGCAAACAAAGGAAACGGAAGTAAACAAAGTCAGAGGACTTGTTTTGTCGCTCACTAATCCTTGACATACGATGTCAGCAGTTGAATGCTACTAATTATGTAAGACATTAAGTCGGTATTCAAGGATACTTACGGAATTCGCAATACCCAGAAATATTCTTGGAGGCCAATCAAAAATGACAAACTGACAAATGGAGAGTTTAACGTTGACTTTATTGGGAATGCAGAATCGGTGCTTAGAAGCACAGTTCACTCAGGCTCGCGCTAAGGGCGTCCTCATTGGCTGCCGTTGCGGAAAGGAGCAAGCCCTTCTTCGGCAAGCTGGGCATGAAGATGTGCAACTGCTTGCGGCTCTCGTGCTGGCTGCCGCTGAAGTCCCGACTGCTGTGGGGCGGCGTACGTGCGGCGTCTACGGCTGACGGAGCAGCAGCGCCGTTGTATAATCTCACGGCAGACAGTTGGCCGGCCATGCGTCGCGCAGTGCCGGGGCTCTTGCTGAGCGCACAGAGATCAATGTTGCGCGGCGGACGGTTGAAGCGGACGGGGACGCCCTCCTTGTTGAAGACGATGGTTATGGGCTTAGCATTGGAGGGGCTGCAGCTCATCACTGGGTGCTTTGCTGCGGTCGGCTTACGAGGAATTTCCCGCTGTGTAATGCTGCGCTTCAGGCCCATAGCTCGATGACCCTGCCGACTAATCCGCTGACTGCCTGGAAGCGCTGCACGGTTAATGATGCCACTGTCGGGCAGCGGCGTAGAGCTCTTTACAATGTCTGCTCTCCCCGCCAAATCGAGCCAGTTGATCACACGCTCAGCCAGACGTTCCTCCGGATTGGCAGGATGAGCTATTGCATGCAGCGCATCCTGCAGAGAACTACGGCGTGAGTGCGAGTTAGAACTGTGATCCGTTAGATGGTTCAGCTGATAGCCCTTGCCGCTGCTTAGCACCCAGGCGCGGCGCCTAGCGTGCCGTCTGCTGTGCAGCGCACTGAATGCAGATTGAACCTTGTTAGTCCCTGCCGCAGGCGCCTGACTAGCTTGGAGCTGCTGCTGGTGATGATGCTGCTGCTGGTGCTGCAAGGTGAGCTTAGTGGCGCCTAGCAGGAGGTACTCATCCAGTGTATAATCAGTACCATACTCTAAGGCTGTTGGCTTTCCGTGAAAGTCGCTAAAGTCACTTTCATAGCTGACGCCTGCCCGTGGTGGATTCGCTCTATTAATATTTAACAGGTTGGGTATTCATTTCACTTACCACCTCGTTTTGCGCTTTGTCTCTGTTGCTCGCGCGGCTCATAGTCGAGTATAAAGTGGCGTCTGTGGCTGCGCCCCGTGTCCCCGATCCGCTCCAACCAAACAGAACGCACAAACAATGGTCGACTGGCCGACTCCCAAATGGAGCGTGCTGGCTCCCTCATGGTATAGCCCCTTCTCTCTCTTTTGCATGGGCTAAGCCCCTTCCCACTTGACAATTAAATTCAACAAAAAACCAAAATGTCCTTGTTGCTGCCGCAGTTCCTGTCGCTGTCTATGTCGCACGCCTGCCTACACTGCCAGCTGTTGTCTCACTGCTGTTGCTGTTACTGTCGTTGCTGTGGCTGTGTCTAAGGCTGTTTGCTTGGCGACGCCGCCGCAAAAAACTTTCCTGTCACTAGGGATGGTCGATAGTCATTGAATGGATAATCTGCAGAGTATATGTTTGGTTATCCCAAGTCGCCTCGTCCCGCATTGGCGGAGACATTTATAAGTATTTTCTTTTGTCGGAGGTGGACTCAAAAATGACTTGAGGGCACACTCTTTAGTAGCTAGGAAAGTGAGCAGGCGTAAAAGAGCTAAGATATATCGACAATACCTTTTTACTATTGGGCTTTCGGCAAGATTATATATGATTCACATTTCACTCAGCCAGCCCCTGGTCCTTGATGTTTTCGTTTGTTTGTCTCGGCTCCCCTCACGCGGCATTCTGTTTTGACTTTGCCCTGCGACTTAAGCGTGTTCGACACGCGAAATGCAGCCCACACAGCCGATGCCCAATCTCCAATCGCCTGTTTTCATTCCTCTGCTCCATTAACCGTTCGTCTGCTTCTGTTGCCTTTAGACATTTGTATGTCTGAGGCTCGGGATAGTTGAATAATTGCATTGTAGGACCCGGAGGACCCGGTGGCACCAGAGCTATACGGAATGTTTTTCTTTGCGTTGAAATGGCTTGCTGAATGATTTATGGTGAATTTTAAGTAGTAGGCCCCATGAAAAGAAGAACAGCATTCATTATATATTGGGAGTGGTACTATATGGCAGACCAATTATATTTTCAAAACTTGTGGCGAATTTCCTCTCTGTCTTGAAGTCAACGAGATACACGTATGGGAGCTGTCTGAATTACCGTTATGCTACATTTACGGTTATGCATGTCAAATAAGGCATTAGTTCTGCACGCCAGGAAATTTATTGGCGCCCAAAAAACACCACACGAGACTAAGACAGTTTCAGAATAATGTAGTGGGTGCTACAGGCCGCCTAATTATAACCCTATGTAAGTCACATCACACTGATCATAAGACAAGTGCAAATTCTGCCCCATCGTGTATTTGCACACCAGTGCATGTTCAATTAAAACGATTACTGAATAAGTAATGRGTAATGAGTAATGCGTAGTGAGTAAGAGCGACAGCTCTATCCGGAAAGTTGGTAGCATATCAAATTGATTGGTTCAACTGCTAACCAGCTATCGTCGAGCACACCGCAGTGCTGTCTGTGCGCTATCCGCAAACTCTGGCAGCAACAACACTTCAAAATAAACAATAACGACCCTTGGCATCAGCAATCGGCCAGAACTTACCAACTTGCAAGTCAAATTGAAACATGCCCCTACACCTGGCCCTATGTGAAGTGACGCTGGCTCGCATTATGCCAGCAAATGCAATTACGGTAGCGAAACGAGCATTGGGAGCCCGATTTCAATGTGGAACGTATCCCGCTGTCTCCGGGTGTTGATAATAAATATAAACATAGTCGAAACATGCAATAAACTAGTAGGGCATGAGCGCAGGCACGGGCAGGATTGGGGGCGGGGACAGACATCCAAGTGCCTCCTAGGGGAGCGGAGGAATAGAAGGGCGGGCATGCCAACAGAGGTCTACACTCGCATGCTTCCGGTTACATGCAGCGAGTGTGAAATGTGTGCAACCTTTGTTGGCATGGCCGAATAACTCAATTAGGGGAAGCAATCTGCTCCCTGCAAAGATGCCTAGAAGCCATTATAACTTTCTGCAGGAACAATTTTACGCGGCCTCTAAATGCAATTAGAGGAACGGCTGGAGAAAATTGCTTTCGTTGCGTCAACTAACGGCTGGCCGTTAGGCTAATTGTACGTAAATTCTTTGTTGCAACTCAATTACAAAACCATTACCCGACTCCTTCTGTTTTATAGTGCCCATCATACCCGAGTTCTTATACGACATACGACATCCGGACGCACCTCTCGACAGCTACCCGCGCACTCCTCTCACCCTCAACACGCCTCCCCCGCCCACGACCTGTCCATGTAAGGACGGTGCGAATGATGAGACGGCCCCGGTAGAGATTGTCACGCCAAGCGCCGAAGGTAGATACAATATAATCAAATGTTAGATTCACTCAGATGCCAAACAGTCGATGTCTTCCATAGACAATGAAACGTATTATCGTGAGCTGGAGGAACGGCATAATGAATTGGTCGGCGAAACGGTTGAGGTAGGTCTCCTTTTTGCATCTAAGGCGATTGTGCAATTGCTGGTTAATCCAATTGTGGGACCCCTGACCCATCGGTGAGTACTTAATCGTTTATTAAATAAATAATGCTCAATAAATCGCTATAAGCCTAAAAAACATCCTATCTCCAATTACAGCATCGGCTACAGCATACCAATGTTTGCCGGCTTCGTAATAATGTTCCTCTCTACGTTGAGTAAGTGCTCAATTAGAATCTTTGACTGAATCTGTAATATCTGTAATATGTTGCTTTCTTCATTCTAGTCTTTGCCTTTGGGCGTTCATATCTGGTTCTATTCATCGCTCGAGCCCTTCAGGGCATTGGCTCATCGTGTTCCTCCGTTTCTGGCATGGGAATGCTCGCAGATCGCTTTACAGACGACAAAGAACGCGGTAATGCCATGGGCATCGCCCTAGGTGGACTCGCACTTGGTGTCCTCATTGGACCGCCCTTCGGAGGCGTTATGTACGAGTTTGTCGGCAAGTCGGCGCCGTTTCTAGTGCTGGCTGCTTTGGCCCTGGGCGATGGATTACTGCAGCTGTTCATGTTGCAGCCATCCATTCAGAAGGCCGAGTCAGAGGAGCCACCATCTCTGAAAAGTTTAATAAGCGATCCATACATCCTGATAGCTGCTGGGGCCATAACTTTTGCTAACATGGGCATTGCCATGCTAGAGCCGTCCTTACCATTGTGGATGGTTGACAACATGGGGGCAACACGCTGGGAGCAGGGCGTGGCGTTTCTGCCCGCTTCTATTAGCTATTTGATTGGCACAAATCTGTTTGGGCCACTTGGACATAAGATTGGACGATGGTTTGCGGCCTGCCTGGGCCTGGTTATCATTGGCGCTTGCTTAATATTTGTATGTATCTTCTCTAGTCTCCTAGACTCCCTTTTCAATGGCTTCCTCTGCAGATTCCCATGGCTACCTCTATTACACACCTGATTATTCCCAATGCCGGCCTTGGCTTTGCTATCGGCATGGTTGACTCATCGATGATGCCCGAACTGGGCTACCTTGTGGATATTCGCCACTCGGCTGTTTACGGCAGCGTCTATGCCCTGGGCGATGTTGCCTTTTGCGTTGGCTTTGCGGTCGGCCCGGCTCTATCGGGATCCCTTGTAAAGAGTATTGGGTTCGAGTGGATGTTGTTCGGCATTGCCATACTCTGTTTCTTATATGCACCGCTATTGACGCTTCTCAAGAACCCACCAACCAGCGATGAAAAGAAGGTGCGTATGGCTAGAGAGGCTGCTGCAGCTGCGGCTCAAGCCGTTCTCGATGATTCAAAAGCAAAAGAAATTCCATTTTGCCCATCCATTAACACTTCAGTCGATGTGAAAGGCAAATCGAATGAGGCGTTTGAAAGTGAACGATTATGATTACTTTATTCTTTTCTGTTCTAAGACTCTTTATATTAACTGATATGATTATTTTGTAAACGTTTTCATATTTTCTGTATATTGTACACCTATTTACATCAGTATTTACATTAGTCCTTGTTTTGGTTGCTAAGTTCGTACAAATAAACTTTAATTTATACAGTTGCCCCCAGTTTTATAAACGAAATTTAAGAATAATAATTAACAAGAACTCATCCCCTAACCGTTACAGTCGTTAATATATGGACGCGATCGCTCTCAGGTACGTTATGTAACCTATCAAAACTACGACGACGACGAATAATCGACCAATTTAGTTAAATAATATAACTCCTCGGCAATGTCATTAAAAAATGACAAAAAAGATGAAACTACTAAAGCAGAACAAAGAAACGCAAACAACAAAAAATTAAAGGCAAAAGGAAAATTCAACCAATAATATCAGTAATATCATATGAGCTCAAGTAATCTGTTATAATTGTTTAGAGTAAAAAGTTGCACATGTACGCTTCAAGTTAAACGCTATGCTTATAATATCTACATATATGAAAAAACCGTTATGAAAAACACGCATTCAGATATTGATATTTATTATATTCAGACAAAAATAATGAACACTCTATGTATATTAAGGAAAAGAAGAAAATTAATGTTAAATAAGAAAATATTTAAGAAGTATTTATGATGGAGGAACACACTTTTTAGGCCAGCGAAATTGTTTGAAATAGATAAGTTCGAGAGCCGAATAGATATATTGAGTTTGTCAACGATTTGAGTGAACTTTTGAATACTGTAAAAAACATAAATATAATTGTTATAGTGGTGAAGAAACCAGCATTGAGCACACGTTACACAGCAAAGCAGAGAAGTTGTTTAGCTACTTGCTTTCACTACGCATAAGTACATTTTACTCCCAGAATGGAAGGTATTTGCTTGCACAAAGTGGCCATAATTGCATTTGTTCAGTGTGGACTATCACTCAGTTTTAAAAAGAATTAGACCGAATTCGGATACCGAAAATATTTATTATTTTAAAAAAGAGTACTAAGGAATTGGATACGAAGTTGGCAACTGACTTCCGACAACAAAAGCAATATTGAGTCACGGACCAATGAAGCTCATTTGAACACTTAAGGCTGTTAGAAGGTCAATATAACTGTACTGTACAGTGTACACACTCTAAAAACACACACAGAGATGACAGTTATGCTGACGTTGCAACAGTCGCAAATATTCACTTCATCGATTATCCGTTATCGACTATCGGCATAGACACTGATGTTGACATTGTAGGGCTTTGGCAACTGCTCACCCGACCGGCAACTGTTGCCGCCGTCGTGAAGTGGACTCCTTATTGCTGGCGAGGGATTGCGAACACGCACCTTATTCATGAAGAACTGCAAATCCTCGTCTGCCGGCTTCGATGTCGTTATCCGAATGGGCATATTATTTATTCGTGCGTATATGGGCTGGTTAGTGCTAACGGGCAGGCCGTTTACGTGCAAATTAAGTAACTTGCGCTCGTTCAGATGACTCGCCGAAAAACCTCTTACGCTGCAGTTGCTGCCACTTCCGACGACGGTGGCATTGTAATTATTGGAGCTATCCGAGCTGCGCCGTTCCAATTTTCTCGATGGACCTCTTTGGTCCGTCTGAGAACTTAATGTCGTTTTTGAGCGCTGAAATGTTGTCAGATTCCGTGTGCAGCTTTGCAGTCGCTTAGCGCGAGCTGCCTGCGCTCTCGAATGATTTAGAAGGCATGGGGCCATTCCTGGCAAACGATCCGTCGAAGCTCGCCTCGGCACTTGTGGCGTCATACCAACGGCCGAAGAGACTGATGTTGGCATGGAAATGGCACGCATTGGCTGATGCTTCTGTCTACTATCAGAGCGGCAACGGTCCCATTCGCATTCCCTCCTCCTCTCCTCTAGCCCCAGAGCACTGCGTCCTGCACGCTCCAATTCTAGTTGCTGGAGTCTCTCACGATCCAGCTGTCTGTCCAACTCTGCTAAGCGCTCACATTTTTGTTTACACACTCTCACAGGCGAGGTGTCCTGCACCACACGTTTTCCCTCTGACTGCAGCTGGAGTCGCTCAGTCTTAGGCACATTGTACTGGCCACTGCCTTGCACCCAGGCTTCGGGCAGACTGAACTTGGACAGTCGCTTGTCAATGATAAAACTACCCGAGCAGCGAGGCGCTGATTGCAAGTTAGGGGTGATCGTAGGACTGTCAGTATTGTTACGCAGACACGCATCGGTTTGAATATTAATTTTTAGGCTCTTTGTCAGCTCTGCCTCAGAATCAAGTCCATTTATATTTATGTTGATCGCACAGCCACTGCAAGTGCTAGCGCTGCGCCTCGGTGCCAGCTGAAAAGTAGATGTAGAAGAATTTTTTGCGGGGCCTCTAACACTGCAAACGGAAGCACTTCTACCAATGGCCCCTCCGCCAACTCTGTGGGTGACACTATTTGTATGGGTGGAGGTTTGTTTTAAACTGGTGACGCTTTGGCCTCGAAGGACCGTCTGATACTCGTCTCGATTGCAGCAGGACCGCAGCAGTGGCTGAGTACGCACAGAAGACTTAGGCCCAGAAGGTACAATAGGTTCCACTACGTCGCGAACTCTGTTCGGTTGCGTTGGAAAACATTTGAAATCGTGAAGAAAATTACGACGTCGATACTCAGAAAACGCACTCGAATGGGTCGCTGCAGCTGCCCTTGTTTCATGATTCTTGGCATTAAACTTTGGATTTTGGTAATATGTCTCAAAAGTATGTGGCTTTGATTGGATCGATTGGCTCGTCTGAGCCCGTTGATAGTTCTGAACTGGATATGCGGGTCGATCAGCGTAACGAAAGTTATACGATTGAATTTTAAATGGGTCGTTGTAAAAAATCTCCGCAGACGGACGGCGTGAGTAACCGGTACTGAGAGCACCTGTCAATTGGAAGGCTTTGGAAATTTATTCATTCAATAAAAAAAAATTAAATTGATATATGCATTAATATATGCATATATAAAATGTGAAGAGTATAACTTATGTACTCACACTGACAGAGACTCATTATATGCAAGAAATTTAGTACTTTCCAGGGACTTGGGCCAAAGTGGTACAAAATAGTATTGCGCTGCATTCATCTAGATTTTCGAAAATATTGCTCATGTCCAAAATGAAAATTTTGTCAATGAAGGCTTTTCAAAATGATTTTGGTCTGGTTTGTTGAGTTATCGTAGCGCACATTAGAACTACATATTTAAGCAACAGGGTGCCAATTTGTGCAGCATTTGGGTCGTAAAGGGCCAGCCTTCTTTAAGCAAATCAATTTAAAATACATTATTAATACGACAAGAGTTTAGAATTGTTTTTCGCGTCGTTTATATTATTATAGCTAACTACTATATGAAAATACCTAATATATTATAAACATAGCCTAACGTTAAATGCATAAATATATAAATATAGACAAATATAGTTATATCTGACAAAATAAGGGAACTACATAGAAGTCGAACTGTATCGAGTGTTTTTGCATTGATCAATCTTAGTTTTAGTGGATGTACATATGCGCGTACAAATGATAATCCTTTATAATTTCATTTATTTGTTATCTTTAAAAGATTGAGTGAATCAAACCGGATATTGACGCGAGTCACTTGAATGGCTGCAAGTTTCTCCACGCGTTGTAAGCCATATTAAAGGCTACGTAAAATCCATATATTTTAAACCGTAAAATTGCCATCCAATGGGCATGTTATCAACATTTTTACGCGCATACAACATGTAAATTTGATCGCGAACGAAATTAACAGTATACATAAGTAATTGTCTTAAATAGTTCACGCAGTGAAAAGAACTTGAAAGCATATATGTATGTTTATTTAATCGCAGGTATACAATGAGATTACAATTCAATTCAGAAAATTGTAAAAATGCGAAGCTGAAATACTTGCTGATTATAGTTGTTTTACTGTTCACGATATTTATACTAACAAATACAACATAAAATAATCAACTAACATATTAAATATCAATTGTCTATCTATTACATGCTAGATGCATATGAATATACTACGACAAACATGTTTTTGAAGAATTGCAAAATGCAATCATGCACTCACCATACATTATTACTAACAATATGAATTCTCCAATACACACATATACTTATTAAATGATGTAGTACAAAAGCATTGTGCAGGGTAATACGCAACTAACTATCAAATCAATATTAGTTCAGTTTCGATTTGGCAATTGTGCGTGTTAAAAAAGCCTTCTTGAATACTTGTGAATTAGACAATATAGTATAAGACATAAAACATATAACTTAAAACATAAAACGTATACCGATATGAAACCGTTGTAATATTGATATTATATAGATAAATACATTTACTGCATCGCATAAGATAAAAGCTGGTATGGGGTCAAATAAACTATGATACAAGTAGCATAATATAATATCGGCAGCAATATATCACGTTTTGTGCACATTAATGATACATACTATGATAAATGTGTAGACATATTTATTATAACCGCACACATATACTCTCTTTAAAGGGTTTATAATTTTAAAGCTTAATTCGAGCATATTAATTGGAATGTAGAGATTCAAATATAGCTACTGCAAATACGCGTACTTACTATATTATATTACATTAAATTATATAACTATATTAAATACTCAAACTATCTATTAATATCCAAACCATGTTGCATGAAAAAACCTGACTTGGAATTTTCGTAAAGAAAAAAATTATTTCAATAAGTATTAAAATGGGAAATACATATAATATACCACTTATATATGCCATCTATATTAGACATTCGATCAATATAATGTAAGCAAAATAATTGAAAACTTCTAAGGTATTATTAAACTATCAAAACTTCGTTACGTTACACTTTATTCTAACAGAAATATTAAATACATGAAACAAGATGTAATTGAAGTTGTTGGTGAATAAACAAGCTAAATCAAAAACAAAAGGAATCTTGTAAAAATTTATATATTTTCAATATTTTGTAGAATATATATATTTATATAGATACATACATCTAATATAATGAGTAGAACAACTTTTGTTCAATCTCTTATAAGGTAAGTTTAGAGGTCTTATATATATATTGTACATGCATATTTTGCACGCCATTTTATTTCCTTAATTTGAAATTAACATTTGTTCATGTCGTTCGTAAATCGAACTAATCGCTCCCAAAAAAAAAAGCTTCTCCAATGGTAATGTTATGTTACTGTTTGTTTGTTTTTTAATTGGYTAACGTTGGAAATTGAAATGGGACATACTAATTTTCGCAATTTATTATTATGATGTCACTACGCAATTATAACGTTTATATATCTACCAAAATCATGTAACGATATTTTTTAAAACCTCATTCGGTTTACTGTTAACTAACAGTAGATCAGAATGTAAAGTTCTGTCGCCGTACAACCGTGTGTATGGACTACAGATAAACAACTGTAACCTCATCGTCAACATGCAGTTGTGCCTTTAGTCTTTTAAATTGTGTTTTGAATACTTTTCATAAAGCGTATTAAGAGTGCAGACCGGACTTTCAGATGCAAAGTGAAAGCTTAGACAAAGTGAATAAGATTAATATACGTTATATATATTGCAGTGACTGCATCTAAACGTTATTGAACTTCGCTGGCGTAACTGCTGTTCGTGAAATCAGGAAAAGCAGCCATAACTTTTTTCTTTTTGTTTTGAGTTGTGCGCGCACATTAATCATAACAATAACAATTAACAACTTGTACTCCAGTTAGCATTAAAAAATTATGGATACCAATGTAAGCTCTGAATTGGGTAAGTTGTTTAATTGCCGTAAATGTATTTTTATAGTTTGAATTGAATTTTTAACCTCCATGGTCGGTACACTACAGCGTGTGTACGTCAGTTGCCCAGGCGCCTGATATATGTACGTACATAAGTTTGCTGGCGCGCAAATTGCTGACAAGCTGTGGTAGTGCTTCAGCTGTGCGCCATATATACATATCGATCTCTGAAAAGTTGTTGGGTGTTACGCTTTCATAATAACAATTTTATATTGCAACGCATTGCAGATATTTCGTCAAAAAGAGTATTCGTTGTATTATTTTTACAAGGTGAAAATCCCGAAATACTAAGGCGATCTGGCAACGCTTCAACTCACCCAGAATATTTTTACTGGTCACACAGGTACAGTCTGTGAGGCTTGTTTTTTATTTAACGCAAGTACAAATATAGGCTTTCAAATGAAAAGATAGACTTATAAAATTTACTGATCTAACAATAAGCAATAATAAACAACGCTAAAACCAATAAAAAAGCTTATTACAAGTTGTATGATACCTGACCCGCTTATAATATCCCTGCATAACGTACTTGAGCTTGCCACCTTGGTAATTATTATTATATACATAATTAAGTGGCAATGCTAATATTACAATCTGGCAACTCTCGATAGCAGCACATTTTGAGGTTTACGCAATTCTCTTCAATTTCAATAAAATTGTAAAAATAGATCACATTTCGAACTCTTTGTAAGTAACTTATGATTTAAAATTGAAGATTTTTCCAATAACCACTTAAGTAATAATAGGAAAACGTAAACTCAAAAAATGATGTCCCAGGCATTTGCATCTCCCATTAGCCGAATCGGAGTTGCACTACGTTGGAACCGGCGTAGTTTGAGCACGGCGAGATTTGTGCGTAATGTAACACGTTCACGTCTGGTAACAAGTAGTACCTTTATAAAAAATTGCCCAACTGCAAATTGTATCCCTGCCACTATTGGGAATTTGCAGCAATATGTGCGGCAGTACGCAAATGAAAAAAAAGTGTTTGAACGCACTAAACCTCATTGTAATGTTGGCACCATTGGTCATGTGGATCACGGCAAGACTACCCTAACGGCGGCTATAACGAAAGTATTAGCTGATAAGCAGCTGGCAGAGAGCAAAAAATACAATGAGATTGACAACGCGCCTGAGGAGAAAGCTCGTGGCATAACTATTAATGTGGCGCACGTTGAGTATCAGACAGAGACCCGTCACTACGGTCATACTGATTGTCCCGGACATGCTGACTACATTAAGAATATGATAACAGGCACCGCACAAATGGACGGCGCTATATTAGTAGTAGCCGCCACAGATGGTGCGATGCCGCAAACACGTGAGCATATGTTGTTAGCAAAACAAATAGGCATCGACCATATTGTGGTGTTTATCAACAAAGTCGATGCAGCCGATCAAGAAATGGTGGATCTTGTCGAAATGGAAATACGTGAACTTCTTACCGAAATGGGTTACGATGGCGATAAAATTCCGGTAATCAAGGGCTCAGCATTGTGTGCTCTTGAGGACAAAAATCCTGAAATTGGCGCTAATGCGATACTTAAATTGCTTGAAGAGGTAGATAATTTCATTCCTACGCCAGTGCGAGAGTTAGATAAACCATTCTTGTTGCCCGTGGAAAATGTATATTCTATTCCTGGGCGTGGTACAGTCGTTACGGGTCGTCTAGAACGCGGAGTCGTTAAGAAGGGAATGGAATGCGAGTTCGTGGGCTACAACAAGGTTCTAAAATCCACAGTAACCGGAGTAGAAATGTTCCATCAGATTCTTGAGGAGGCACAAGCTGGTGATCAGTTGGGCGCCTTAGTGCGAGGTGTAAAGCGTGATGATATTAAACGTGGAATGGTCATGTGCAAACCAGGAAGTGTCAAAGCTCTAGATCAGTTGGAGGCGCAAGTGTATATACTGTCCAAGGAGGAAGGTGGTAGGACCAAACCGTTTATGTCATTCATTCAGCTACAGATGTTTTCTCGTACATGGGATTGTGCTGTCCAAGTACAAATACCGGACAAGGAGATGGTTATGCCTGGCGAGGATACGAAACTTATATTGCGCCTGATACGTCCAATGGTCTTAGAGCAAGGTCAACGCTTTACGCTTCGTGATGGCAATTTAACCTTAGGCACGGGCGTTGTCACAAATGTTTTGCCGGCCCTTACAGAAAGTCAGCGTTCTGAGCTAACGGAGGGTAAAAAGGCGCGTGAGAAAAAGGTCGCTGCCAAAAAATAAAACTTGTATTCATCAAATACTTATTCTAAACTCGGTCGTATACAAATAAATATATTTTTAATTTAATTATGTTATATGTATGTATACATTGAATCATTCATTCATATTACCAGCTGTGAAGTGTATAAATAAAACAGTGCTAAAAGTAGTTGCACTCGTTTAATGTTTAATGTTTGTACCACTAAACAAACCAGTTTAGTCTTCGTACACTCCTCAGTGATAGGAAGTTATTGAGAAAATCGAATTTGCTAGTCACGAGCCAACTATCGATAACAACAAATAGCAACACTACTTTGGGGCAATCAGTGTTGACCAAGGTGGTGATTGAACGGCTACGCAGCTGATGCTCTCCCTAAAAAATTTAAAAAAAAGAGGTATCCATTTATCTGGAAATATGTCTGCATATCGTTTGCCAGAGCTTTCGAGTGTACTACCTTATTTACTCTCTATATTTGAATTATTTAATGTTTTTAAATTATAAAATGCTTATGATTCACAGACGAACTGGATGATACCACGACATTGCCAGGATTTACATTTTACGATTTGCTAGAACCATCAATGGCGTCCAAACAACAAAACTTGGACAGTGATGATAATGGTGGTGGTTGTGATACTAACCTAGGTATGAAGCGAGTGTATATGGAAAAAAAAGAACCGTCAGCTACAACGAATGAATTGTTGAATACATCGGGACAAAAAAAGGCGCCAATTGTTCGAATATTAGAGAACAAACGGTTGACTGCGCCAATGGGAGCAGCTTTGAAAAATATGCTAGGAGAAAATGTTCGTGTGGTAACAACTCCAACTAAAACCGCATCAACAACTGAGATTAAGATCCTAAACAAGTTACAGGCAAAACCCTTGAATGCTTTTGGTAATGCACCCGTTAAAATCGGCAGCACAACGATAGCTGCACCAACTACGTCACCAAAGAATATTGGCGTAAAGATGACTCCAATAAAAACTGCCGATGGTAAGGTGATTTATCTGCAGAAGTCATTGCCTGTGACAGGTGGAACGACTTCAAAGGTACCATTAGCAAGTGGCATATCAGATCGCCTAGCATCAACCGGCTCAAACATTCGTCACGCCATACTTTCGAAGGGTGTCACTCTAAGTGGTACGTGTACAATCAAAAGCAACAGCCCGAGCTTGTCATCCTCAACAGCCCGCGGCTTGACTGCAGCTGAAACGGCTAAGCCAGCAGCTCATCCATCGACAAATGTTGTGACTCCAAGTGCATCATCTGGTTTGATTAAAGGTCCATCTTCCGCAGATGCAGTATCTACACCAGTGGCTACTAAGATACAAGTGGTGCGCACCGCTGATGGTAAACTGATCAAACTAAATCAGGGCTCTCCCTCTGTACTCCTAAACACCAAGCCAGCAATACCAACAACTGTTTCAGGCAACAATAGTAATAAAGTAATGAGCAAGCCGACTGCACAAGTTATCATAAAGGGACCGTTGAAACAGTTGCCGGCTGGTTCCTCACTTCGGCCAATTATTAATAATTCAGGCAGCAGCAACAATGCAACTAGCAGCAGCAGCAGTGCTGTAGCATCGACAGCTATAACAACCTCGGCTAGTCCATCTATACCAGGTGGTAAAATGCTTGTTCAAAGCTCTACAGGAAAGCAAATTGTTGTGGCCAACAAAGATATAATAAAGTTATGGCCAATGCCAAACACTAGCACAACAACAACAACAGCAAATCCAAATACCGCTTCCAGTGGCCTGCATGCGATTCAATTACCAGGAAAAAGTGGGCTGCAGTATGTGCGCGTTTTACCTAACAACAGCAACAACAGTAGTGCCAGCAATGAGACAACAACTAGTCCGCAGAAGGTCTCACTGGGACGTCCTCGAACGACCAGCAACAATACCAGCTCAACTATTTCAGTTGGCAACACTACCAAAATTGTTATGAAGACCACGGGCGGAAGCATAGTGCCACTACCATCAATGCAAACTTTGGTGCCTAGGGTAAGTACATAGCTGAAAATTTTAAACTGTGAAATGTAACCTTGACTGATTACTAACTAAATCTTCTTTCACAGCGAGCTCCTGGCACTACACCCAATACGGCATATACGAAGCCCCTCGGCAACAATAGCAGCTTGGATGGAGCACATAAGCACCGGGTATCCGATGTAAATGTGCAAATAAAGCATCTGTCGAGCGACAGCGCCAGCGATGCTGGAGCCCCAGAGGCAAAGAAAGCGCGTTACGTTATAGCCATGCCGCATACCTCCACGACATCAGCCTCAGGCACAGCACCGGCAACGGCTCCAGCATCGCAGAAAAATATGCAAAAAATAATGGGAACACGAGCAACACAAATGCAGCGCTTCACGGTGCAGGGCGCCAATATGACGGGCAGTAATAACCCTCCCACCCGAAAGATTTATAACTTGGTCACAAAGAGTGATGCGAACGGCGTCAAGTACATGATATGCAACAAGGGAGGCGAAGGAAAGCCACGAACAGTTTTTAATACGACGATGCGACGCGGCTACACTCTAGCCGATAGCAAGCTGCGTCGCCCACTGGCTGCTCAACAGGCGCGCCTTAAGCAAATGAAACAGCATCAGCACAGGCTGATGCTACCAGCACAGGCTAAGCAGCGGCAACAACTACAGCAGATACAGAAACATCAGACCACCATAACCAAGCCCCAACAACAACAGACACTAAAGTCGACGGCAACGCAGGAAACTAAAATAGCAATTCCGAGCAAGCCACTATTCGACATACTGAAGCCGCCGCCAGTTCCAGCGCCTGCAGCTGGAGCAGCTGCAGCACTTGACGCCTTAGGAGGCACTCGACGGAAGCACTGTAACTGTAGCAAATCTCAATGTCTCAAGCTGTACTGTGACTGTTTTGCCAATGGAGAATTTTGTCAAGATTGCACCTGCAAAGATTGTTTCAACAATCTGGACTATGAGGTGAAGCGAGAGGAAGCTATTCGCAGTTGCTTGGAACGTAATCCCAGCGCATTTAAGTAAGTTGCTTTTGGTTATAAATGCTCACAATTCCTAATTGAATTATGCATTGCTGCTTATAGACCGAAAATTACGGCTCCGAATTCTGGTGATATTCGCCTTCACAACAAGGGCTGTAATTGCAAACGATCTGGCTGTCTTAAAAATTACTGCGAGTGCTATGAAGCCAAAATACCCTGTTCCACTATGTGTAAATGCGTAGGTATGTATAAAGCAGATATATATATATATATATATATATATTGATTGTCCTAAAGTCTAAACAAATTGTAATAATGTATATATTCATATGCACATGTTTTATTCTTTTGTCTCACGATAGGATGTCGTAATATGGAGGACCGTCCTGATGTTGACATGGACTCTATGGATAGCCTGGTTGATACCAAATTGCAGACGAATAAAGTAAAAGACCTAAACGGAACATATCTGCAGGAAAATCGCTCGAATGTTTATCTTACGGACGATGTGATAGAGGCGACTATAATGTGCATGATTTCGCGTATTGTTATGCATGAAAAGCAAAATTTGCCTGTCGAAGATACGGAGCGTGAGGTGATGGAAGAGTTGGGAGAAAGTTTAAATCAAATAATAACTTTCGCCAAGGAGAAGAATGACACATTTCACACAGACGACCCCAAAACGACGGCGGCCTAAAATACGAGATAAATTCTATTCATATTCTTTTCTGTGTGTAACTTTAATACAAAGTACATTTTATAAGTTCAAATCAATCTGCTCTGTTTCTGCTTCAATCTTTCCTAATTAAGCTATTGTATATACATAGCATTTCTGTTAGCATTACCAAACGTAAGAACTTTGTCGAATTTCAACATTTAGATCAGGAATATATCCAATGCCCCGTTAATGTGTATATAAATAAATACAAATCTAATAAAACACTAAATGATATATTGTTTTATTTAATAAAATTTCAGAATCAAATGAATTATATTATCTTATTTCACTGGGATTAGTACTACAGTAAAACAAAGCCCATCCCGATTCGAGTAATTACAAGCAAACTAACAAGTAATAATGCTTATGATTATACTATAATTATAACGAAAACCGGAATTCTATAAAATACATAAAATACAATATTTAGAATCGTGAGTCTCTAGCTCTAAAAATGTAGGATAGAATTTAATTATTGAAATTCGTTAAGGGTTTTAATCGATAACGGAAGCAGTGAATTGCGAAAATACCAACTAAAAGTCAGTTCTATTCTATCTTCTAAGATTGACGCCTTTATACATACGGACGGACGGATAGACAGACAGGCAAGATAAAATCGCTCTGATGAAGACACCTCCTTTTCTCTGTTACATACATTTAACGAAATACATTTAACATACATTATACACTGATTTTCCATTTTCAATAAGTTTACGGTATAATTATCAGCAATAATAGGAATATAGAAAAAAAAATTGACTGATATGGTAAACACAGGCATACATTTCCAATTTTTTGTTTACGTGAACGTACGGACAGACAGACGTAATATGCAGTTGCACAAAATTATACGCTGACTTTACATTTTCAATGGGTCCAGAATATTTTACATAAACTCCGATGACGGCCTAAGTTTTATTACACGATTACGCAGTGAATAAGTTCTCGGCGTAATAGTACAACTCTCCTCAACTGTTGAAGTTACTGAAGTTTCTGGCTGTCTGTCTTGTAAAGAGACTCTCTCCAAGCTCATGTCTTCCTCACAGTCATCTAATTTCGCAGATCGCAGGTCAACCTCATCTCCACTGACATTACCTTCCTCAAACGTGAACTGGAAACGACGAACCTTTTTTTTTGCGCTAAATATGACATTTCGATTGGCTGTAGATTGACGTCTCTTGGTTCCTGGCGTTTTTAAAATAGATATTGGCTGCTCTCTGGTTGGCGTCAACTGCTCACGAGCTAAGTACTCCGTTGCGCCAATAATAGCAGACTTTAATAAACTATTTACTCCCGTTGACACTCGTTTTGCACTGCCATTAGACACACGAAGCACGGTAGGAACTGGTGAAAACGATTTGCGATCGCGAACAAAAATATGACGATACTGTGGGCAACGTTTCGGAGTTTGATTCGACTGATTGCTTTCCTCGGCAATTCCTTGAGTTGCCTGTTTTTTTCGATTTTCCGCAAATGCCTTACGCAAAAAAGATCTTAAGTCGCTGCTTGGCTTAGTGGCGGGCTTTCGCTTAGTGATTGGGCCTGCTTTAGGTTTTACTTTAGACAACGTCTCCGTATCTGGATCAATCCAATTATTTTCTTTTAAGCGCCGCAGATTATCAAATCGTTTATCTACATTTTGGCTTTGCAAACGCAACATATCCCACCACCCCTCTAAGTCATCAACAAAGACGGGCTTAGAAGCCTCGCTGCCATCATTTGGAAGCCGATCTTTACCGCTGGCACCTGCTTCACAGCGGTCAATTAGACCTTTAAACTGCATAAATTTTTTGCTAGTAAGAAGTTTAGTTTGCCCAATAGCAGCATCTATGCTATCCTTGGCCCCAGTCTCCAAAAGTCGCTCTTCATTTTGGCTGCTATATAAATTCCATTCATCGCAGAGGCAATGAAGGCGTTTAATTTCATTATCTAGCTGTAATCGAAAGTATGCAACAGTGTCCAATATGCGACGTACTGCAACGAGAGTTTCTGAATTTTTCTGACTCAACGGCGTGATTTCATCTAAAAGTTTACAAAGTTTCAAATTATTAATTACGAATTCCATGCATTGATTTTATCCAAAATCTTACCCTTTCCTGCGTCCACTCTGTTCTGCAACTCCAATACTTTCGACGGAGAAGGCGACAGCTGATTCTTGGCGATATAAGGTGCTCCATTTGGCTTCCTACTTGCCACAGTAGATTTATTGAACGTGTCTCCGCGTGACTTTAATATATTGGCGCCTTTCTTGTACGACTTCTTCTGACATGTTGCCTGTGCTCCAAGCTCAGACGTGAAAGGTGTCTGTAAATTGCATATTTCTTGCAGATCAAATTTTGTAGAAAGCTTATGCCTAATTTGATTTTGTCTGCAGTGTGGGTTTGCAGCCTTCATGCGTATCGACAGCTCTGATGATAGAGGGTTAACACCCTTTCTTTGTGCCAATGCTTTCATTTGGACAGCACGACCACCTCGAGAGTTTTCTTTAGTTGCGGTTACTTCCAACGGCTTGGTCACAGCATTTTGTGTTATTGAGCTTTTAACTGACCGTACTGTTGGCTTTGCCGGTAGTCGATTTTGCTTAAGGCTAATCTGAATTTCAGGCTTTTCCCTTATAGAATCAGCTGCAACTTGCAGCGGGTTTAGCGCAGGTCGTTTCGTTTGGAGCTTTGTTTTAAACTCTTGTGGTTTCGCTCCAAACACAAAAGGATTTACTTCATCTACTAGTTGGTTTGACTTAACAACTCTCGCAATAGAAGATTTCATTGTCCGATTCGCGGATGTTTTTGTCATTGAAGCGTGAGAAGCGGCAGGAGCGAACGATTTCTCGGGCTTCTTTTCAAAACTCTGTTGAAAGGAGAATGCCACTGTTGATACCTTAGTTATATCTGGATATTCGACATTTTCCGCTGTTGGTAAAGGGCTCTTTGGTATATTGTTAAAAACATAAAGCGAACGTCTTTTTTCCTCCTTCTCTGATTCAAATGATGCAGTTGGCTGCGATAAGGCTTGCCTTTGCTTGCATCCTTTGCCATTTTTTTGGGAAGCTTGGTACTTATCAATTGATTTCCATTTAAGAAAGCGTTGCAAATAATTAGCATGACGTTTTGACATTTTATTATTGGTGGAAAATTCATTTTGCGAAGAAACTTTATTTTCCTGGTCGATATTTGCAGCTGACATCTTTAGATTATTTAACTTCACTTGCTTTTGCTGGGTTGCCTGCGACGGTGTTTGACTGAGATATGTACTGCGATTTTTTTGAAATAGATCCTCGCGTTTTTTGCTTCGAGCAACGCGATGATGTTCGCGGTTAGATTCAATAGGGTTTTGGCGTCTTAAATCTCCAGAAGACACCTTAAATAAGTTTCTATGATTTTCCATCATTGGCAGTATGAATACAATTGTATTTGAGTTATAGCTTGTTATGTTTTGTTTATTTCGAAGTTGCAGTATTTCTTTTTAAAACGACAACAATTCCCAAAAAATTACAAATGTATTGTTGAAGCGGCCGCTTGAAGTGCCGCCATTTATATTGTCACTGTTAAAAGACTATGCAAACCTCAGTTCCCTTACCGTTACTGTTAACTAACAGCTCTGTTGTGATGCCACATTTTCGACTAAATCTGTTTAATTAAAATTGAAGTTTAACGGCCACTTAAGCGACTACCGGAAAATGCTCAAGAGCAAAAAAAAATCATAATAATTTAACAACATTATCTAATAATAAACACCATCAATTTACATGGCAAAATAAAAAAAAACTCAGTATTGTCATATTACGCGATAACGTGTGACCATACTTTGTTCATGAAGATGTTTAGTTATGTATATACCAAAAAAAAGAACATACATACATACATATGTTTTTCGATTTCAAAATATCATATTTAATTAAATTTTCGTTTTAAGTACATCGGCTCTAACCTAAAAGATAAAAATATAAAAAATATTGATTTGAAAGAGAAAATAAAATAAAATAAAAATAAGTAAAAAAAAAATAAATTTACGGTGAATATTGCAAAAGTGTGTGTCTTCGATTTGGTACATGTGTGTATACGTACATACATGCATACATAGATTTTATACATGCATGTGCATAGAGAGGGGTTAAAAAATAACAAAAACAACAAGCTACGCACAGCATTGCCAGCTGAAATTACAGGCTCTGCTTCGAATAGAACTGGCTTTTTACTTCTGAAATAAAAATATCACAAATTTATGCAAAGAATAATAATATTTAATGTAAATAATTGTGAATAGTCTTTAGAGTTATTTGTTTTTAACAAGACATTAATCTTTAATACACTCGTTGCTGGCAACGCTTTGCAAGCTCAATTCCTCTCTCTGTTTTTCTCACACACGCATTCCTATATGTCCGTCATTCTCAGTTGATTCTTCGTGAGTGCCGCTATCACTTTGTGTTTGTTGCTTTGTTGCTGGCCTGGCTGCGGCCCCGTCATCGTTGTCGGTGTATTTTTAATCACTTTTCTCGCTGCCTGTAGTTTTGAAAATATTGTACTAATTTGGAGACGTGCAATCAAACATATGAGTTATTGTTTATATAATAAGTTTCGTTGTATATGTGAAAATATACGTGTTTTACACAAAGCAAAAAGCAGAGCTGAGAGAGTAGGCAGTAACAACATTCTCATATGTATGGGCGTATATGTGTAAGTGCGTGAGTAACAAGGCTGATAAATAAATCTACTAAAAATTAAACCAATAGTACTTAGAAACGAAAAAATTTTAATACAAATCAACATATAATACAAAATGGAAGCAATCGCTAAACACGATTTCTCTGCAACTGCCGATGATGAACTCAGTTTCCGTAAAACCCAAATTCTGAAGGTAAGCAAATACTATGTCATAAATATAAAAATAAATTAAACTATGTTAAAATTTACTTTTGCATGAATCTCTAGAAAGGGTTCTGGATTCAAGTATGTGGGCACTGTAATTAAGGCAGTTGAGTCCTTTTACATAAATTTGAATACAGCGTACCATTACATTCGCATATACAAGAGAATATGCATACATATGTATGTAAGCGAGCTCCATTTGTTGACTGAGTTGTGTACGTTTTCGAAGTTCGTGCAAATTCTTTTTTAGTTCGGGTATTAGTAGTATTTTATTTTTCGCCAGTTTAAAAAAACTAGAATACTGCAAAACGCACGCTCAGATTATTCAGTATGTAGCTCGCGATCAATCATTGTTTAAGAATGAATCGGTAGGTATTATTAAATTCATATGAAATGTACATGCATAAACTATAATCAGCTTATTGGCTTATAACTTATATTCAAATCTTAGTTTGGTTTATTAAGACACTACGCACTATACATATACCATATTTCAATTTTATTTGTGGGATCTTTAGTTTCTAGTATATGTACTATGTGTTGAAAAACAAGCAAGAAAGCATAATAAGTCGTTAACGAGGAAAGTTTAAATTTGTAGCTTATAGCTGTAAAACGGGGAAATATTCTTAGCAGTCTACAATAACGTAATGGCCACAAAGTTATACTAAGGATATTTTCCCAAAAATTTTCGAGAAAATGCTTACACTCAGACGCATATATTGTAAACTAAATCGCGCCAAAGGGGTTGCATTACGCAATCCTAATATTCTCATCACTTCATGAACTTGTGCTATAACTACATACATATGTTGAAATTTTATGCTACACAATATGTATGAAATAGTTAGTAAAGAAAAAAAATGTCCGAAGAACAGTTAAAGAATTGAATACAGATAAAGTGATATTCATATATTGCATTTATTCATATATTCGGTTCAGCTGGAGGCTGGGCCCAAATTCTCTTGGCGAATCTGGTTTTTTTCTTACTACACTATTGTCTTTGTCTCAGATGCACGCTCGCCATATCTGTGGTCCCTTTAACCAATTGGTGATCTTAGTTTTGGCAGGCGAAATATCAGGTTTTTAGTTCTCGGGCGATGTAAGCTGCTGGCTTCTGCTTCTCGCTGCTGACTGCGGCCAAGTTATTTTTTACTGTATATCCGTTCTTGTCGTAGGTTAGTCTTTCAGTTTTCAATTTCATTTTTACATACTTTACTTTTATTGGCTTGCAGTCTCTTTTAAAGTGTTCATGTGGATTAATGATGTCAGTGACTCACTTGGTACATGCTTTATCAAGCAACTGTTGTTTGTTTATCAACTTAATTCACTTCAGATCAAACGAACATGAGATTAGCTTATCAGTCCAGTTATTTATTTCATATCACCGCCACCACAATTGATGCTGGAGAAATTTGAAAGATGCGGGGCCAGTATGAGATTATTCCTAATACTATAAAAACCGAATTTTTAAATATGGGAAATAGGGAAAATTTGTGTAACATGCAGAAGGAGTTTTAGCAAGCCCCATTAAGTACATATACATATATTCATACGCAGTACAGGTCTATCATATTTTTCTTTCCATTTATTTTTAATCGAAAATAATCGATAATCTCCCCCCTTTTCCTCACAAATCGTATTTAATATGCTAGATAATTTTTCTTTGGCACACATCTTACGGTTCTTATCACGTTCTGAAACTTTGCCGAAGATAGTCCCACATCGAGGGAATTTATTAAAAAAACAAGTAAGAAAGCTCTAGTCGAGACTGCTCGACTACGAGATCCCCTGAACCCTTCGAGCAACGCACGCACACACACAGAGGCACCCACGCATGGGCTGCAGTCTTTAGTATTTGAAATACGCTTTTTACAAATTTAGGGGTGAGGGAGAGGAAATACGGGTTGGGGGTGACAAACAAAAATTGACATTTTATAAAGTACTTATGAATCTACATTTAAAATTTTGACACTCTAGCTCTAAAGATGTAGGAGATATCATTTTATAATTGATTGTCGATAATGTTTTTTATCGATAAAAATAACGGGATGCGTTATCGATTTTTGGTGATAAACTCGATATCTTATCTCTTCTCGAAATAAAGAGCTTGTGTGGAGAATCAACAAAGCTGTAAAAATATGGAAATGTTGAAATCGGAAAATATTTGCTGAGATATAATTTGTGTTAAATACGTGTTATCTACGTGTTAAATATATCAATTGAGTGTAAACTAAGAAAATATGATTATGCATTTCGCAAAAATTGATATTGATTAAATTAAATAAATATATTTGTTTCAGATATTAAACATGGAGGACGATTCAAATTGGTATCGCGCCGAATTGGATGGAAAAGAAGGGCTTATTCCTAGCAATTATATAGAAATGAAAAATCATGAGTAAACAATATATATTGAAAATCAATTGTACATATCATAACAGATTTGTATATTTCATATATCTAGCTGGTATTATGGACGTATAACACGTGCCGATGCGGAGAAATTGCTGTCAAATAAGCTTGAAGGTGCTTTTTTAATACGTATCAGCGAGTCAAGCCCCGGCGATTTCTCACTATCCGTCAAGTATGCAGCGTTGAGTACTTTTCCAGTAATGAATATAATATTATCGCATTATTTAACAGATGTCCCGATGGAGTTCAACATTTTAAAGTACTGCGGGACGCCCAGAGCAAATTTTTCCTTTGGGTTGTCAAGTTTAATTCCCTCAACGAATTGGTTGAATATCATCGAACAGCGAGCGTATCGCGATCACAGGATGTAAAATTGCGCGATATGGTACCTGAAGAGGTATGCTTTTTTATTTAAACCATTGAATAGAAAATGTTTACAAGTCGAACATATTTATAAACTATAATTTTGTCGACATTCAATTTGTATATCTAAACCCCATATTATTCAAGCTTTTGGGGACCTCCTAGTCGGCTTCCGACTTCAGTTTTTCATGCTTGTTATACCCTGAACCCATTAAAAATGGAAAATCAGGGTATAATGTTTTTGTGAAAAGTTTGTAGCAGGCAGAAGGAATCATCGCAGACCCCATAAAGTTGATCAGGACGACGAGCTGAATCGATATAGCCCTGTCTGTCCGTCTGCCCGTCAGTCCGTCCTTATGAGCAAAGGGATCTCAGAAGATATAAGAGCTAGAGAGCTGAGTAGCTAGCAGTACAAGTTTATCATATCAGAGCTCATCCGATAACTTATTTATCGAGAATAATCGAAAAATCGACTTTTTTTCTGCTTTTGTTTTTTAGACCTCGAGACTTCAAATTTGCGTTGTATATAAAGTTAATGGATACAAAGATTTTGCAATCTACAGAGTTTATATACCACGCTCCCTTCGCCCCCAATTTGTTAAAAACGTATTTCAAGTACTAGAGACTTATGCTTTGAAATGTACACACATGTTAACTATATGACCACACTCTAAAAGTTTCATAAAGATAGTCTTACTACAAGAGAAATTATTCAGCTAATAAATTCTCATAATATTGCCACACTGCAGCGCAGCCCACGCGCTATCGCTGCTAGTTGCGCAGTCAGCAGAGCGCGGGATATATGTACATAAGTGCGTGTGGATGCGTGTGTATGCATGTGTGCATAAAAGAAGTGCAGAATGAGTATAATATCTGCTTGGAGGGTTCAGGGTATCTCCCAGTCGAGCAGTTTTGACTGGAGCCTTCTTACTTGTTTAGAGTATATGTCATTGATAATTCAAAATTTAACAAAACACAAGCAATATTAAAAACTTGACTTCATTTTTTTATACCCTGAACCCATTGAAAATGGGAAATCAGAGTATAATGGTTTTGTTAAAAGTATGTAACAGGCAGAAGGAGGCGTGTCAGACCCCACAAACTATATATATTCTTGATCAGGGCGACGAGCTAAGTCGATTTGGCCCTGTCCGTATGTATGAACGCGTCGATCTCAGAACCTTATCGAAAGCTAGTTATTTAATTATATCTCCTACACCTTTAGAGCTAGAGCTTCAAAATTTTAAACGTGAACTTATATATATTTTATACCATTTCGATTTTTGTTAAAATTTACCCCCCACTCCTATTTCCACCCCCTCACCCTCAGCTTTGTAAAAAGCGTATTTCAAATACTAGAGACTTGTGCTTTGGAATGTACATACATTTTCACCATATGATTACGCTCTTTAAGATTGTACGTCTAGAAATTAAATTATTCAACAAATAAATACTTATAATATTGTCCACACTGCAGCGCAGCCCAAGCGCAGTCGCTGCTTATTGCACAGTTAGCAGAGCGCGTTCTAATACATGCGTGTGCCGAAAAGAAGTGCAGAATATCAGATTAGAGGGTTCAGGGTATCTCCTAGTCGAGCAGTCTCGACTAGAGTCTTCTTACTTGTTTTTATACCCTGAACCCATTGAAAATGGGAAATCAGGGTATAATGGTTTTGT